TATCCCAGATACTTAATTTCAGTGTGTCTCTCGTGCCACTTGGAGAGATTTCAGTTTAACCCTCTGCCCTCATTTAGATAAAAGCTCTTATTTCTGTATCTGGGCCTCCAGAGAGCTACTCAGTCAATACTCTGAATATCCACACCCAGAAATCAAAACCAAACCCTAGCATGCAAACTTTCATTTCAATTCTGCCTAGGCCAGAAGGCCAAGGTGAAACTTGCACAAATGAGATAATTCAACAAAATATTCCTTCAGTGTAATGGAGCTAGGCCTTCACCTCAAACTTTCTAAGCAGATAAGCAATGCGTGCGAGGAGGGCTTGTGTCTCCTTCTAACATTCATTTCACAAATCTGCACAGAGCTGGATTGAGCCAGAAAAATGAGAGCAAAACCATTTTTCTTTAAATTAACACCATGACTCTAGGGTTTTATTTTTCAAAATAAGCATAGAGGGCATGAAATCTAGTATCAAGCCCAGTGACATGTTCAAAATACAAAGCCCACAGTAAAGCATAACAGTCAAATCATCTTAGCAGGAAGAAATCAGGCTTTGATCTAACAACTAACTCCTACCTGGTATCCCAAAAATCAGTCTGAAAGAGCAGCACTGAATCGCTCTCTGACCTCCACACATACAGCAAACAGCACAAGTGCAGGGGCCAGGTCCCACCTCACACATTACAATAGCACAGCCTACCCACAGTCTTGGAATAATTCCTCCTCTGGCTGCCTTTACTGCAACCTGAGAGAGAAACTGCTATGACAGTGCTCACTAGAAGGGGACATAGTTTGCATCTTTGGAAGAGTGAAGAAATACCTTTTCTGAACAGAATGACAAGGTTATGTTTATATTTCCATACCCCATCTTTGGGATACAGATTTGCATGATCAAGCCTTGCCTTGTATTTTTAAAATCCAAAAAGAAACAAACAAAAAGATTCAAGCACATAAATACATGGTAAATATCAGATCAAGAAGCACTTTACTAATACATTCAGATTTGAAAAGATTTTGTCAAAATAGGGCATTTTGACAATATAGAAAAATCTCGATCTTTAAACTCCTGACATAAGAATTATTGTAAAATGGATTTACTGCAAGAAGTGCTTGTTGTTCTGCATGCAATTTAATAACATAAACTTTGAAATGAGAGAGGAAAAATACAAATTCTTATAATTTAATGGCAAGCCTAGAATCTTTTGCATAATCTTCCCGGCCTACTGCTCTAGTGGGAGACATTTCCTGGACTCACAACCCTTTTATGTGCAAGCAATCTACATTTTACAACTGATAAATAATTCAGATAATTAATTGAACTGCAATTTGGTGCACTTTTTAGTCAGCAATATAGAGGAGCATTTAAAGAGGTTCTGTACAGAAAGTCCCTCCTGCTTGTTAAACCAGGCTGAGACTTCTATTAAGGTGAATTCCTAGATTCTCTTAACATTTTTGAATGTCTTGCACCAACATCCTGGGACTTCATGCCCTAGGATGCTCCTCTCTGATTTTTCTTGCTGTTTTACTCTCTACGTAAGAAATAGGGTATTTCCTAGCATTCTCCTTCTGCAGCGCTGACTGCCATCATCTGAGAGATTAGATTCTCTGTGCTGGCCTCCCACAGGCTGCTAGAACAGACTGCAATAGGAGAAGGAACAGAGACAATAAATAAATGCTTGAAGTAAGAATGCAGGGAAAGCTCAAGCAAACTGCCAGAGAAATTTCTAGATGCAAAGGAGTGACGTAGGAACACATGGCAGAAAGTCTAAAGAGTATTTTCATGCTGTAAGAGCTTGGTTAGAATTTGGAAGTCAGCAGAACCCTAAAATTCATACAATAAAGATTTAATTATATTTGTAGCCTTCACACAACTGCAACAGTCAACAACGGCTATGCATTAGGTCTGTGCCTCTGGCACAAGCGCCCATATCCACCACCTTCTCCTGTGCAGTGTGCACAGAGGCTGCACCAATGCAGCCCCACCACCTCTTCAGAGGAAGAGGGCACAGACCTGCAGTCTCGGGTGTTTACCCCCAAAAAATCTCTTTGGCAAATGATGCTGCAAAGTATTTATTAATTGATATGTGCTCAAACTGAAGATTAAGGGACAGATACGAGGAACCACACCAACAAGAATAATTGAAGTGCTAAGGAATCTACAAATGACAATTAATTTTCAGATGGGATTTCAGGCTAAATAAACTTGCTGCAAACTACACAGGGCTGTGAGTCTGTGTCGAGCATCAGGAAAAGACAGGTCTGAGAAAGGACAGTTGATGATAAAGTGTGGACCCAGTTCATTACGAATATGTGAAGAAGTTTTTGCTGGTTAAAAAGAGTAATGATAATGCCAGAAGGCACAGGCTGAGGGCTTGATGCAGAAGAGAAGAGGCCTTTCCAATCCACAGAATTAAAGTTTACCAGTATACCTGTGTAAATACCGAGTAACAGCAGAGGAACAGTAAAGTCCTGTAAAGAAATAAAGCAGACCCCTCCCATATATCACTCTGCACACTACCTACCAGATACAATGGGAACAGCTTATAGAGCAAGGATTCTACACAGTGCAGAGATAGCTTCATCTGTCCCAAAACAAACACAACACATCTGAAGAAGGCTTAAGAAACTATCTAGGAACAAGATAAATAAATCCCAACAATCATCAGGAGGTATAAGAAAAAGTAGCACATTGTTATCTCAAGCATCAAAAAATTTCAAGACCTTCTTGATTAACAGATGTAATTAGAGGACTGTCAGCAGTGTGTAACACAAAGGTCCTCTTAAATAACTAACAAAAACTATTCTAAAAGAATTGATGGCTGCATACCAGAACCTACAGATAGGTACAGAGACTTGTCCACATTCAAAGCAGGTAACTGTCAGGTACAGACCACAGTTGACACCAGGTTGAGATGTGACTGCAAATATCCTCAGAGCAGAGAATGATGTTCTGCAAGACATAAATCCCTGCACCCATTAACTGCAAAAACAAGCAGGGACAAATCATTTAAAACTGACACTTGGCTAATGTGCCTCCAAGATGATCTGAAGTGGAGACCCTTGCCATCCTTCCCCCTGCAAATCACTTTTAGCTAATTGACTATGAATGTTTTCAGCACATGGCCTGCATAAAAAATGTAAGATTCAAAGCACACAAGTATTAGGCCTCAGAGATGAGTTGTTGAAGTGATCAGTGATTAAATCACTAGTGTTAATCATGATTCAACACAGCAAAGATGGAACTTCGATTTAAATCATTGATTTTAATCCTGTTTCTCATTTGTACTTTTTAGCTGTTTTCCTGAAGAAAGGACTGAATTGCATTGGCTGATCTGGCCATCTAAACACAATGATTTGCAATTAACCACTGATTTTATGTTAAATTTGGAGCTTTTCCTGAACAGGAGGATACATTAAATATTGACAAGGGCGACTAAAAAAAAAGGTACTAGATATAAGAAAACATACGAAGATCACTACCAGAAACACCATTTCAAATAAGGCCTTGAGGTCTGGTATAATTAAGAAAGAATAAAATCATATTTTAGTTAGGTAACCAGCAATAATATAAAATATGATTATTATGCAATCATATAAATTTTCTCACAGATCTCAGCTCCAAAGAATCAAGCACGCTACCGCTTCTGGGCTTGAGAATCTACAGTAAGATTCTTCTTAAAACAGAAAGGAAAAACTGTAGAAAACAAAGAATTAACAGCAGTAGTAAACCTAAAAAAAAAAAAAATCCAAACCAAGAAGGAAAAACGAAAAAGAGGCAAGAGTTGTTGGAAAAAATCTAGACAGAATGAGGTCAAGAAAGACATGTACCAAGTGTAACATCACCAATTAGAAAGACAACAACATCAGAAATTGGGGCAAAGGGATAAAATGAGAAAAGACAGAAAGTGAACAGTGCCAGTGGTTTAGAGCTCTCACTGTATGATCAGGCAATATATAAAGTCTCCAGAGAGTACTAATCTTTAGTGAAAGAGAGGTCTTAGAAAACTGGGGTTAAGTAAGTCTGCCTGAAGACAGGAGACCACAGGGCTCCTAACACTAGCATGAGATTCAACTAAGGGTCTCGCACCCAAAATGGATGGCACTAAAAGTGAAACTAAAACATACATTAGATAAAATGGGGTAATTTCACATGCCTTCCTTCCCCTCCCTTCTTTTCTGCAAAAAAAAAGAAAGAAGAGCTTACAACTCTTCTGACTCTCATAAGTGAGCCACCTGCCAGAAAGAAAAGATGAGCTTCAAAGTGATCAACCAGTAATTCAGACTGTCACCTTCAATGCAACCCACAACATCAATTCCACTACCAGTTCTTAACTGAATAATGAATATTGCAGTTTTATCATGAAGATATTCTACAAGGGCAGGCAATGATCAGAAAGCAAAACTAGATGGGTCACAATAAATTCTAAGTCACCCAGAGAAAATTTACAGGAAACTTTACAAGATAAATCACCTGGTAAAGCATTTGAACCACAGCAAATTCAGTCTATTACCAAGACAAGGTTATGACATCTGTGATACAGTGAAAGAAAAAACCTATACTCACCTCTTTTGATTGTTGACTTAAATGCCCCCTATTCCAACACCTCAAAATTGCCTCAAGAGTGGTTCCACGTGTTTTTCCAATCAGACATACAAAAGGTTTCAAAACGATGAGAGAAGTATCCTTGCACAATTTCAGCTTGCAAGGCCAACAAACACAGGTCCACAAAGGGAGTAAGTATGTACGTAGTTCCTCTTGACTTCAGCAAAATTTGGAACTTAAAATACTTCTGTTATCTTGGTACTTAATGCTGCTTCTCATAGCTAACTCAAACATCTTTCAGCATTGAAAGCAGCATCTCCCCTCTACACTTCCTCTAGCCAATGAATTAAACAGAGAGCAAGACAATCTCCACAGAAGCCTTAGGACAGCTCTGAACCACAACACATGAACAGCAGTGGCAAGGGCAGTGTAATTCACATGTCAGAAATTTCCCTACCTGGATGTCAGTGTCCTTCACAGGTTCAAGAGGCTCAAATGTAGTGGCTGCACTTAGACTCTCAAGTCTCTGAGAAATGTGGGATATATCAAGCCCTCTAGACCCAAGAAGAACCGATCTATAAGGAATAAATTGTACAAATATGAAATTAGTATTGAACAGACAGAACTCTAAACACAGAGTCATTGTCAATATTTAAGTCAGCAGCTAGCCACATACAGACAGTGCTCCCAGATGTGTTACAAAAGCTGCACAGAACCAAACTCTGAACAGCCCTACGTGTCTATGTAAACACCTCAGCCCTGCTGAACTCTTTCTGCTGTTCCACTGCAGTGCTGCACAGCTGCCAAGTCCTTCCAAACAGAAAAAAACCATACACTGTGTTGGTAAACATCTTCAGCAGCAGCCAGAACAAGGTACTGCACTTTCCAGCTTTAGTGTCCACAATCAAAAACAGTAGCTCCTCAGATAAACCCTTCAACTATCCTGTTGTTTTTTGGAAGTAGGAGAAAGGTTGGAAGAAAAAAAAACCAAAACACAAGCTTTGCTAAAAGCTTGGTCATTCTAAAAACCAGCTTTGCAGTCATTCTGTTTCTCCCAGCAGGACTCCCCCCACGCTGGAAACCAAACCCATAAGCAGCTTCCACCCTGAGTGCAGAGCCCCAGGGTCAGTACTCACGCCTTGACATCGGCAGTCTCCTGGGAGGTGCGGGTCAGGGTGCGGGAGCGCAGGCGCTCCCCGGCCTGCTGGATCTCCTGCAGGTTGCGCTCCACATGCGGGAGCTCCGAGATCCCCTCTGTCTCGGCCGCCAGCTGCTCGGCCTGCTGCAGCAGCTCTCCAAAGCCATCCGTGTCCATCTCTGCTGCAGGTTTCGCTCGAGACACACAGAAACCTTCAGGGAAAAAGGGAATTCTTGCTCAGCTATAAACAGTTTCTATGCTTGTGGGGTCACAGGCAGACCAGCAAGAGCAGGTCTTCTAGAACAGGATATACTGTCTATCCTCCCGAGGCATTAAACATCAAGGAAATCTTTACAAGCGGTCTCGGAGAGCTTTCAAGCAAGACTACAGTCTACGGACCTGTCAGAAGTGGGATGCAGATGTCATATCATAGTTCATATTTTGCCTTAGAACAAAGGAGGATGAAAGCAGAGAAGTCCCTGTGAAGAACTTGGTGTTAATTTAGCTATAAACTACTTGCATACACACATAAATAGATTGCTGGGAGCGCTGGACTCCGTGATCCTTATGGGTTCCTTCCCATCCTATGATACTATATTCTTATCTACTATGAAAAAAGATGCATACATGTGCAAGCATAGGAATATATGTGGGCTGAAAACACACATAAACATGAAGTTAAATTAGTAGCAAAACAGTCGAACTACAGATGCACACAGACAGCCCTAACTAGCTAGCTGCTAAAATGTGTTGCTCCATATGTCATTAACCCCCAGCCAACAGAAATAAGTTCATGTTCTTCCAGTTTAGAAGACCTGTGTCTAAATTCAATGCCTGTAGGAAGTTTCACCAATGCAAGAATTCCTTGCATTGACTCAGTGACAGAATAATTTAAAAAGTTAAAGCACAAAGCAAGGGCTGTAAGAGAAGATGTATTAAATGCATCATGCAGTTTCAAATTCAGAATGAAGCCTGTTATTTTTACAAAAAGGATGAAAGCATACATGCTTGGGATCACTATGGAAAAAGACATGTAGCTACAATGGTGTCCACATTAACAAAATATGAAACCCAAAACCTCAATTTCACACATCAAATCACAGTTTGCAGGTAAACCAGCTACAAGCAATAAGCATCAGGCACCTCTATAAAGCCACAGATCACAGAAATCCGTGATGCTGAATGGTGCTACAGAGATGGAAATCTTCAGCACAGTCCCTCTCTCATAGCTTTTGCACCCAAACCCAGAGGGCCAGGGATGACATAAGAGAAACCAGATCTCAAGCATTAACTCCAACTGTTTATCATTTACTCAAAAGTCAAATCAGTGAAGACTATCTGGTTCAAGGAAGTACCCTAAGAAGAAAACAGGGATTTTTACAAATCATCAATAGCCTGCAATTCAAGTATTTTTTGTACTCCTCAACCATACCAAAGCAATTTTACAGTAGAATTTGAACATTCCTGACGTTTTCAGTCTCACCACCACTCCCAAGTACTACTATGAGCAGCAGTAGCAGCACTTGCCTCTGTCTGGACAAATGATTTAAAAGCACTGCATGATGATTCATTCAGACATAAGCAGTTTGAGAGAGAAATCCTCCTGCCTGGGTGCCAGGACAAACCCTAACAACAGCATCCAGGAATGGAGAATTTCATGAGCACTCCCCACACACTTCAGGAAGCTGGGGGAGGGAATGATTGTATTTGCAATGACTTGTTAATCAGGTGAGATAGCAGAGACCGGATCTGTTTGAACGGATTAGTGTGCCACAGAGATGGAGTGGAACAGGGAGGAGGAGGGTGGAAATAAGCAGTTTCATGCCCTGCAATGCAGTACAGAACAACTTCCCAGTGTTTACTTGCAATAACTCAGATGCACCCCTGCCAGGAACAGCCTCTGCTGGCAGACACTGACCAGAACAGCCACACTCCTGTACATTCAAAGACTGATGAGATCCTCCAGGAGCAGTGACTGCAAGAACAACACAGACATCAGCTTGATTTGCTCTGATCTGGTCCACTTCCTCTTTTCATTAGCAAGATAAAAAGCTGGGAGTGTAAGGAGCACCAACTTCTCAGACTGCTGAAACCAAAAGCACGAAAAGTCAGTGCTACAGAACTGCACCCAAACCTGCACATTTTACCTGCAGACACCCTGTTAATACCATCTAAGGTCTGTCACATAAGTTTGCCTGCATAGGACAATTGCAACAACTCTGTGAGACTGAACCCAATTCAGCAAATACGGAACAAACTGGTTATTTTGGAGCAAGTTAAAGTGCCTGTGGTCATAACCAAGCACTGGAAGCAACATCTCAAACGCAGAGAGTCAACACTAAACAGCTTTTTCTAAGTGACAGAATTCAAACATTTAGACTGAAGATTCATATATTTGTAACAGTGCAAACAACTTTGTCTCCACCCTGACAGAATTTACTGCATTCAAAAGTCTGCAGTCTGACTCTTCATGCTGCTGTGCAAGATGGAAACTGCTTCCACAGCAACAGCAGATTTTCATGTCTGGCTGGGGAAGGAGCAACAACCAACATCTAACAGAAAGAAAATACTTCAGAAATTAAATTAACTTCAGTGAAACCAGATCGACCTTGGGCAAAAAGCCAGGACTGAAAAAGCTCTTCTGTAAAACAACTTTGATGACTTATCAATAGAAGTTGCTGCATTAGACCACAATTCCATTAAACCCCAGTTTAATTTCCCCAACGTTTAAAGCCACACATAATCACTAGATATTGTACAAATTCGCTAAGTTTAAGCCACAAAGAAAACAGAACAGATGACAGGTTTCTTAAGTCTATTCAGACTGATTATAGTTGATTATTTCTTACCTAAAAACCACTAAAAACTCCTCAAGAGCACTACAACGCTATCTTAGGAAGAAAACTCTAGCTATTCTACTCCAAATACAGCCACAATTAACATTTTACTGTACTTGATTCAGAAATACAAAAGCTGAAATACTCCAGTGCACGTCTAAGTGTCTGCTGTACTTCACACATTGACAGGGTTTGTGTCAACTAACCAATTAACTTTGAGAAACAGAAAAAAAGTTAGGCTTTTCCAGTGCTCTGGGAAAAAGAAAGGAAGAAGATGTCACAGGAGAAGGAAAGCCTCACTCACTACATTCAGAGTGCTCACGAAGCAAGAGTTCCACAAGTTGCAGAAAGGTTCTTCAAAACAGGAAACAAGAAGGAAGAAATGCAGTGTTGGCTTCTCAAAGAGGCTCCAACCTCAAAGTGCTCAAGAGACCCAGTCTGATCAGTCAGGATCAGCTTCTTGTAGAAAAAAACCACAAGAGCACAAGTAGTAAGACCAAGCCAGCAGTGCTCTGCTTCCTACAGCCAATATCTGAGGTGAAAAGTGCTTTTTCAACAGGCTCTAAGCCTGGGCTGCTACAGAGAATGGAGCAGCTTCTGTCTATTAAGCTAAACACGAATAAGTGAAAGGTCCATTCTGCAGGCCTGGAGAATTCTGTCTGAGCAGCAGCAATAGTACGCAGCTCCTGCATGGCACATGGCATAAGCAGACATCCAGACATTTCAGAGAAGTCAGCAACATCGCCATGTTACAGACAGAGGAAGTGATTAAGAAACACTGAGGTGATGATCAAAGAGCAGGTGGACAATTGTACAACCCAGTATCTGCTGCACATTTTCAGCACACCATCCTCTTGTCTATAAAACACAATAATGATTATCAAACCTAACAGAGGGAAAGCTTCCATACCCTAACTACACTAACCCCAGATAAAATCACAATAAGCCACCTTAAAAATACCTAAAAGCTTCAAGCTATATTTGGTACCCCATCTGGTACAACAGCCTCTTCCCCCTGCAACAAAAGGCAGATGCAGGAAAATCCTGAATAGATCACACAACAACCTTTGAAACAATACTATTGTTTCTTCTACCACTGATCCATTAATGCTCCTCTGCCTCCTATAAAAAGGCTTTCAGTCCTGCATATTTTCTTCTTCACCTCATTTGTAGGTAGATATGCAAAAGTCCAATTTTCTTATGGTCCCAGAGAGCCCTTACAGTAGGTATGTTGAAAAAAAAATATCTTTTTCGAAGTTTTAAAAGCAGTAACACTGGGTTACTTGCACTGTAAGAAAGGACAAGGAAGGGCACACAATGCTTCTCTACACTGTTCATTATTTAAAGTGGACCTGAAGAGTAGGCATTTGAAGTGTTTTCTACCAAAACACACTAGCACACATTTGTCAACACTTCCTTTTATCTGCCACCAATTCCTCATAATGGTCTCAAGTCCCCATTGCCCTGAATAACTGACTCAGCTGGCAGTTTTGCTATATTACCATATTCCCTCTTTTCCAAACACTTAGTCTTTATTTTAAGCACCAAACTCAGCAGGAAAATAACATGCACAGGGCGGCAAACTGATCCTCATTAGACAGGGCATTTGGTTCAGGATTTTGAGCTCCTTAAATGAAAACCAAAATCTTCCCCACATTGAATTTTCTGTCATAGATGCACCACAGAAACTTTATGGATTTAGATGACAACACATGCATTCTTCCAAGCAATTTTAAGCTTTTTCTGTCAGTTTTCCCAAGGACTAGAATATTTTTTATGATACAATATAATTGAAATAGCACTAAAGCATACAGGAACTGGTGTTTCTTTCTCACTATCATCTTAACTCTCCATGCCATCACTACTGTTCCCAGACCAACGTGACCAAATTGCGAGAAGAGAAGCAGCCCTTCTTTGCACCTGGACTTTAATTCAAGCCCTTCCACTCACTGTTCATAAATTCTTCCAGTATCTGAAGGGGTTCTGCAGCAAAACCAGAGAGGGGCTCTTTGTCAGAACTGTAGTGATGGACAAGGAGTAATAGATAAACATTGAAAGAAGGGAAATCTAGGAAGACATTATTTGCTGTGAGGGTGGTGAGGCACTGGCACACGTTACCCTGGGAGGCTGTGACTGTCCCACCTGTCAGTGTTCATCATGCCGGGTTGGATAATGCCTTGAGCAACCTGGTCTAGCAGAAAGTGTCCCTCCCCTTGGGGGGGAGCGGGGGGATTGAACTAGATAAGCTTTGAAGTCCCTTCCAAACCCTTTAAGAATTCCTAGGAACCAACCTGCAAACCCACTGGGTGGGAGAGAACAACCCCCACGCACAGAACTCGAAACAGACACCAAACCACACACATACACAAACCCCTTCTCCGGAAACCTTCCCAGACAACCAACTTCTGCTCCCTGAAGCACTAACGCTGCACTTGGGTTAAACACTAAACTCCCCTTCTACAGCCGGGCTCGGCACTGCCGAACCGCACAAAAGCGCGCTCGGAAGAACAGAGCCCTCCTCGCGCATCCACAGCGGCGCCGCTGCCTCAGCGCGGGTTACTGACGGCAGCGGCCCCCGGGGAGCCCCGGCACGGCCCACGAGCAGGCCCGAAGCGCTCCCAGCCAGCCTCCCGCCGCAGCAGCGGCCTGCACGGGCCAGAGAGGAAGCCATGGGCGGGGGGCAGCCGCCGGGAGCTGCGGTGCGGGGGGAAGCGGGCAGCGAGCACCGCGGGCGGGGAAGAAGCGGGGGAGAGAGGCGGAGGACGCTGAACCCCGGCCCGCCCGCGCGGCACCCTCACCTCACCGCGCTCCGCGCCGCGCCCGCGCCGCGCGCCCCCATTGGCTGCCCGCTCGCCCCTTCCCGCGCTCCCATTGGCCGAGCCGCCGGGCGTCCCGGCTTCCCGTGCTCCCATTGGTCCATCCGCCGCGCTTCGCAGCGTGCCGGTTCCCGCTCCCTCGCGAGAACAACTTCATGGGGGCGCGGACGGAATGGGGGGGGCGGCTGCCTTCGGAGCCCGCGGGTTCGAGGCTGCCTTCCGCCTCCTCGCGCTGCGCGCGCCGCGCAGAAATCACCGAAATAAGAGATGTATAGACAGAAATAACGTGCCTGGGAATGTACCTCTATTCCCCCTCTTCCTTCTGAGTAAGCGCTGACTCTTGCTGGCAAACCCTGTCTGTAAGCTGATTCCGTGGGTGCTAAAATGAGGATAAGGAATTCATCCCCATTTTGCCTCCCATGGCCAAACACACCAGCAAACAAACAGCCAGCAAGTACTCACACCATCACCTGGTGCCCTGAGGGTATATAGGGATTTGCTGTGTTTGGTCCTGTCTTGGACACATACACGATTGCCATAAAACAGATATTGCTGATGACACAGGATTTGTTGGGCAAAATCTGGGAACTGGGAATTTTATGTATCCACAAGGCAACAGCCTGCTTGTGTAAGAGACAGCCTGGATTTTGCTGCTGCTCTGAAACATCACCCATCAAACCTTCAAAGCTGAACAGATTTCCCCATTAATACAGTCTCTATTTCCAAATTTTCCCATGTAAAAAGCAGTTCCCAGCAGGCCAGAGGCAGCTCTGGAACCGGCTGTAACTGCTCCTCCTAATTGCCAAGTGCATGCAGAGGGTCAGGATACATTCCTGCCTGTCCCGGGAGGTTGCCCTGGTAGGAAAGATGTCTTAGTGGGACTGTTGTCCTGATGGGATGGGTGCCCTGGTAGGGTTGCTGTGCCACCTCAGCTCTCCCTGAGCCCTTCCAGGCTCCCGGGGCATCTTTCCAGCGCTAGGAGAGTCCTGGTCCGCCCGGAGGCGGGCGCTGGTGCCCTCCGGGGCGGGACGGGGGAACAGCCGTCCGGAGGGGCCGGGAAAGGGCAGACGGAGGCAGGGACCGAGGGAGGCGGGCACCGGCAGGGAGCCGGGCCGGGAAAGGGCAGACGGAGGCAGGGACCGAGGGAGGCGGGCACCGGCAGGGAGCCGGGCCGGGCGGCGGCGCTGCGGGCAGGCAGGTGGCAGCAGATCCCTGTGGAAGGGCTCGGCGGCGCCGGGAGCGGAGCCGCTCGGGAGAGCCGTCCCTGGGGCGGGACCCGGGTCCTCTGCACAGAGGGCAATGGGTGCTGCCCCCTCTGTGGGTGCCCGTCCCTCTACACTGGGCGCACAGGGCGCCTTTCCCTTGCCCAGGATGCGCAGGGTGCTGTCCCCTCTACATCAGATGCGTGTACCCTCCATCCTGGATGCCCATCCTATGAGCACAGCATCTCATCTCTGTGCCACGGGTTTTAAACAGGATATTAGTCAAAACACATCAGTGAAAGTGCTGTCAAGCACTGGAACAGACTGCCCAGGAAAGTAGCGGAGTCACCACCCCCGGAGCGATTTAAAAAATAATGTAGATGTGTCACTTGGCTTAGGGGTGGGCTTGGCAGCGCTGGGGTAGCAGCTGGGCTTGATGACCTTAGAGGGGTTTTCCAACCTTTCCAACAATTCTATGACTCTGTACTTTCCTCTCGCACTGGGTGCATTTTCCCTCTGCCCTGGGTGCGCTTCCCCTGAGGGCAGGGTGTCATTTCCCCTGTGCACACGTGCCTGTCACCTCTGCACCAGGCGTGTTTGCTCTGTGCGCTGGGTGCATGTCCCCGCTGCACTCCGCGCTTGTCCCCTCGGCACAGGACGATGTCCCCTCAGCACAGAGGCTCCTGTCACGCGTGCACAGGGTGCTCATCTGCTCTGCACACAGTGCATCACTCCTCTGCACAGAGCGCACATCCCTTCTGCACAGGGCACGTGTCCCTCCCGCACATGGTGCGTGTCAGCGCCACGCAGGGTCACGGACACCCATCACCCCCCTGGGACTCACACACAGCCAGAAAAAGCGGTACCGAATGCAGTCCCGTGGGCAGCTGCAGGGCTGCTCGTCTGGGAGTGCGCCCAGGACCCCCTTGCCCCGGCTCCCCTGGGTGCCCAGAAGGGTTCATGGTCACCTCGAACCACCTCAGCAGACTGAGCTGGACTTTTTTTGGCGGGGCTGAATAAAGTACATCAGCGTCCTCTTGGATCAAGAAAGGCTCCCCTTACCCTCCCACTATACAGAGCTGTCCAGAGTACAGAGGCTGAGAGCACTTCCTGCTTCATCAACAAGTACTTTTTTTTTTTTTTTTTTTTTTTTTTTTTTTTTTTTTAATAGAAGATACTCTTGAGGGGACCAGAAAGCCCTCACCCACCTCACTGAGAGCAGCTACAGGCAAGGGCAGGCACTGGATACATCCCTGACCAGCTCATTCCGCTGGTCCCATGGCTTTCCTTGCCCCAAATCTGTCCTGGGGAGGCTGGAAAGGGCACCAAGGCTGGGGGTCTCTGCCAGACGGGTGTGGAGGCAGAGCCAGGAGCGGGCAGGGCAGGCTGGCAGCGGCAGGGTGCAGAAGTGTGTGCCCACATCCTACCCTGGCACGCTGCTGGGAACGGGGAGCGGTTGATGCCTGGGGCGCTTCCTGTGAGGGGAAACCCCATCCGCGCCCGGCTTTGTTTCTGGTGCAGGATGCGGGCGCCTGCCCGGGGGGCTCCGTCTGCAGCCCCTCCGCTACAGTGGCCGGGGTCGCAGCCCTGTTTCATATGGCTCCAGCAGCAGAGCCATGCCAGTCTTCTTTTCCAGCAAAGCGTCTTCCCATGGGATTGTTTTTAAAATGTATTTAGGGCAGGGCAGGCCCTTAAAATCCATTTCCATCACTGCACCTCTGTTGCAACAAGCAGTGCTAGGAGGCTGCTCAGGCAAAGACACACTGATGCAATAAGGCAAAACATTTAAAAGGCAAATGGGTGCTGAGCTAAGTGCTGCTTTTCTCACTGGCCAAGTTGGGTGCTGAGCAGTCTGGGGAGCCATGCGCTGAAGCTGGGCAGACTTTGGGGAAAGGGTGAGCCTGGATCATCCTGGATGCCTGAAACATCCCTGGATGCCTGAAACATCCCTGGGAAATGGTATTTCCATGCTCCCACTGTTCAGACTCCCCACCTTGCGCCACCCCACCTAACAGAAAGGACTATGTGGGTACCCAACTGACCAATTTTGCTGGGTTTTAAATTTATCTTGTCCCTGGTGCCTTGTCACCAAGGGCTGCAGGAGATTTTCGTGCCAGACAGAGCTGTCCTATTGCCTGAAGAGACACAAAATGGGTGAGGGCAGCATGGCTGGGAACTTACATCTATGGTGGGGCACACCCAGGAGACATGTATGGGCAGGCATCTGCCTAAAAAGTGACTGTTCCATTTGGCAGAGACTTTCGGAAGCGAAACACATTGCATGCATCTTCCCACCGCCCCCCTCCCCCATTCCAGCAGCCACCCAGAATCCAGGCAGCTAAGCACTGCATTCACAGCTATGGTTACCTGCCCTCCTGCATCTGGAGGTCTTTGCAGCTTTAAGCAAGGTGCTTCCCACGAACGAGCTGGAAAAAAGTGCTTGGAGGTTTTGCCCACAGCAGGAGCCAAGCACTGTAGCTGCAGGTATTCGGCATGGGGAGACTGCAGGGAAAGTGTCCCTTCGGGGATGAATCTGCTCTGCAATGGATTTGGGCTTGCAAAGCATGAGCTTTTGAGGAGGGGAGGTTTGTCCCCACTAGAATTTGTCCAAGTGCTCTCCAGCAGCAGCTCAGAGCAGGCAAATTGCCAGCACACATGGCCCTCCCACCCATTACACTTGCTCCTACAAAATCTTTCACCTAAAGGAAGCCCCTAACAGGGTGCAGAGGCACCTGCCATGTAGCCAAGGAAAGGCTGGAGGGGACTAGAGACCCTCCTTCTACTGTTTGCCCACAGCTCTGGGTGTGTCACCTGTCCTCCCTGGGAGACCAGCACCTCAAAGATGCCCACACCAGCCCCACAGTAGGATGAGATCCATCCCATGCCCTGTGAAGCTCCACTTAGGGAAGGACTTGGGAGTGTTTCTGAACAGCCCTCTCTCACCCTGCAGCAACAATTTGACAATTCCCATACAGGTGTCCCAAGTGGCAAAAATGCTCAGCCTCCAACCCATCCCCACAGCAGCACTCGTACCTCCAGAAAAACTCCTTTATTTCCATCCAGTTTCACCACTGGTACAGAAAATACAAAACAAGAAAAACAGAAAAAAATAGGCTTTTTTGTGCCCCCCACCCCCCATCCCCGAAGCGTGCCGACTATTTACAGGCAGAGGTGAGCGGCTCAGTGGCAGCAGCTGCACTTGCTGCTGGTCGGCTCCTTGCACACGCAGCCCTTGGCGCAGTTGCTGCAGCTTGCGGGGCAGCAGGAGCAGCAACCTGGGAGGGACACAAGAGTTAGAAGGTAGGTAGAAGGGATTGGGGTTCTGTGAGGCAGGGGGACCCGATGGAGAGTGGGAAACAACTCCTCTGCATGAGCAGGGCTGATGATCCCGATGGCTTGGAGTTCTTCATGAGGGTCCTACACAGTGGTGGCAGCCCCCCAGAGGGGCTGTGTTGCAATTGGCCAGGGGAAGAGGGAAGGATCCCATGAGGGTTCTACAGGGCAAGAGAGGGAGTGATGGGGTCTCCATACAGGGTCTGAGAGGCAAGAGGGGTTGCCTACAGGGTAAGACTTGGGAGGTCCCCATTGGGTCCGACAGGGCAAGAAAGAGCTCCCTTGTGGAACAGGAAGGTATCCATGGAGTCCCTCAGGGCAAGGAGGAGTTTCCCTATGGAGCAGCGAGGTGCCCAGGGAGTCCCACAGTATAAGGTTCCCAATGGAACAGAGAGGTGCCCATGGGTGTCCCACAGGGCAGTGGCAGCTCCCTCCAAAAACAAGGCCGGTCTCCCCTCCCTGAGCCCCCCACTCACTCTTGCGGCAGCTCCGGCAGCGGCAGTTCTTGCACTTGCAGGACCCGGCGCAGGAGCAGGAGTCACCTGGAGAGCGAGGGAAGGAGAGCGGGATCAGCCGGGAGTCAGGCAGCGGGAGTTAGGCGGGATCAGCCGGGACAGGATGGGACACTTACCGGCGGCACACGTGCAGTCCTGGGGGTCCATGGCTCGGCTCGGCGCGGCTTAGTTCAATCTAGCTCGGCTCGGTTCGGCTCGGTGTGGCGAGGCTGACAGAGGTGCAGCCCAGCTCCGGCCGCCCACTATTTATGGGGCAGGACACGGGGCGGTGCTGCCGCTGCGCACGGTGCGGCGGGGCCGCGGCACCGGGCCGTGCTCACCGGGGGCGGCGCCGGGCCGTGCTCACCGGGGGCCGTGCTCACCCCGGGGCCGTGCTCACCGGGGGCGGTGCCGGGCCTTGCTCACCGGGGGCCGTGCCGGGCCGTGCTCACCCCGGGGCCGTGCTCACCCCGGGGCAGTGCTCACCGCGGGGCCGTGCTCACCGGGGGCCGTGCTCACCGGGGGCGGTGCCGGGCCGTGCAAACCCCGGGGCCGTGCTCACTGGGGGCCGGACCATGCCGTGCTCACCCCGGGGCCGTGCTCACCGGGGGCCGGACCATGCCGTGCTCACCCCGGGGCCGTGTTCACCCCGGGGCCGTGCTCGCCCTCGGGCCGTGCTCACCCCGGGGGCCGTGCTCACTCTCGGGCAGTGCGCACCCCGGGGCCGTGCTCACCCCGGGGCCGTGCTGTGCCGTGCCGTGCTGACCGGGTCACGGGCCTGCCCCCACCCCCGCTCCCAGCCCGCTGTGTCCCTCCTGCACCCCCTCCCCGGCAGGGTGCTGCGCTCCGGGGCACCGAGGCGCTGCACTGTGGGTGTGGGGGTAGCAGCACTGGCACGGCACTGCCGCCGGGTCCTGCACGCTTGGGACAGCCCCGTGGCACTGCCCCGTGTGTCCAGCGCTGTGGTACAGCAGTGCCCCCCACCTCAGGGGTGGCTGTGGGGTGCACGGGGCTGTCCCTGGGGATGAGACTGTTTCAGCGCCCCACTGGAGAGTGGGATGGCCCTGGACAGTCCCCATGGGCTAGAGTGCTCAGATGGCCTCCCAGGAGGGGTGCGTCATAGAACACCCTGAGTTGGAAGAAATCCACAAGGATCATCGTGTACAGCTCCTGAGCCTGCACAGGACAACTCCAAAAGCACACAATGTCCCTGAGTGTGTTGTCCAAAAACTTCCTGAGCCTGGCTTGGTGCAGTGACCACTTCCTTGGGGAGGCTTTTTCAGGACCTGACTACCTTCTGGGTAAAGAATATTTTCCTAATACCCACTCTAAACATCCCTTGACAGAGTTTCATGCACTTCCCTCCAGTGAACATGAGGATGCAGTATGGTAGCTTGGCATTGTCAGCTAGGAGCTGCTGGGAATCACTTTCTCATCCCTGTGAGTTTTCCACCTCGTCACAGGGTTTATGTGCCAACGGGCTTCCACTGCCTCGCATGTGCCTGTGGCCAGTTCAGCATCCAGCATGGATAACAGTGTCTGGGTCAGGGTCAGGCTGTCCCCGTTCCTGCACCCCCTGCCCTTGGTGGTGTCGCAGATGGGGCAAGCCTGGGTTCAGAGCTGGTGCTGTAGATGGGTCCATTCCCGTGAAGCCTCGGCCAGCAGGCTCTAGGACCAGGAGAGGTTCAGTGACCCAGGTGGTTGTGCCAGGGAACGGCTCGTGCTTGTTTGCAAAAGCATGGAGTTGTTTTTTTCCTGGCAGCGTTTGCCAGCAGCAGTGAGGCGAAGCCAGCAGGCATTGCACACACCACTGGCTGAGCGGGAAGGAGGAGAGGTGGAATAACCGAGCACGTGTGGTGTCACTGCACATAAACACGGGCTGTGAATTAACTTCTCTCCCTCCCAGACAGCCCCAGCGCAGTGCTTTGGGAATGTTCTGCACCCGCGGGCCCCCCCTCCAGCAGGGCGGGTTCTGCTGCACTCGTGGTCGAGGAAAAGAGAGTCCCGACCACCCAAAATGGGATTGTGCACCCTGCATGGAGCCATTCCAAAGATGACTGTGCAGGGCCAAAGCAGGGGAATTCCCAGATTGCTGGGAATCCTGCATATCATACATGGAGGGGCTGTGCTGAATCCTGGGACACATTGTCCTGGGCCCACGTCTCTATGAGCGGGAAAAGGCAGCACAGCACCCCCACAGAACTTTATGTGGAGCTGTGATGGGAAGAGAGCCTGGAAAATGCCTGATTTCCCAATCTGAGCATTTCCACTAAACAGTGAGGTCATCCTGCGAGCAGAACGGGCAGGAATGAATGAGTATCCCCTGAGCCAAGGGCTTGCTGAAAGGCTGTGCCAGACATCAATGGTGAGAGGAGAGCTTGGAGGGTCTGCTGTATTATGGCTGGCATTCCAATTTCCCAGGGCATGGAGTAGTTAAACCTAGGTCTGTTCCCATGTAAGAGGAGTGCCATGTCCGACTCTGATTCTGTAACAGTCATAAAGTGAGCAGCAGAGCTGCGGCTGCCCACCACAGGTCTCAGGGCCCAGAGTTGGGATGCTGGAACCTCTGTGTGCCCACTCCCCACTCTCCCCCCACCACTTCCCCTGAAGGCAGGGGACAGGATCTGACAGCTGCTCTCCATCATACTGCCATAGGGCACAGGGATGGGTACAACACAGAGCCATGGGGCAGAATCAGTGCAAACCCACATGGGCCAGCAAAGCCAGACCAATTCAGTGAGCTTAACTAGTTAAACCAGATGTTTGGTGATAAATCTCATTAGCAGCCTTTGCTCCTGTTGGAAATGTGGGGTGATGGTAACATCTCAGGGGATACCCTGAGGGAGGAGCCCTCCTGGAGTGAAGGGATATCTCCTAGGGATTGGAACCCTGAGCAGCCCGTGGGCACAGGTGCTGTGCTGTAGGCTGTGCCAAATCCCTAGCTGAGTCCTGGTGGTGGTCATTGTGTGGGTCAGATTTTTAATTTAAAAAGTGGCTAGGAGCAGCTGCATTTGAGGAATGCAGGGACAGGCAGAACCTGTCATGTTCCTGGGAAGCAGCAGGGTGGCATGGGGCACCTGGGGTGCAGCAAACTGGCAGCAGCATGGCTGTGCTCGGGCAGAGTGAGCATCACACCCTGATATGGGCATTGTGGGCATCACATCCCATTGCTGGCTTTGCACCCTGGCATAGGCGTCCCCTCCCATTGTGGGCATTCTGCCCCATCACAGGCATTGCACCTCATCACATCCCACACTGGAATCTTGGTATGGGCATTGCAAACCACCGTGGGCATCACACTCTGATTTGGGCACCACATCCCATCACAGGCACTGAACCCTATTGCATGCAGTGCACCCTATTGTGGGGATCACACCCCATTATGTGCACTGCACCCCACAGTGGGGAACCAGGTCACCTGAGGCTCCCCAGGAGCACCCAGCCAGACTGGCAGAGGTGGCAGAGACATAATCAGTGTGGTTCTTCCTGCCAGTTCAACTAAACTGCCAAGAGGAAAATTAAACCTGTTTCTCTGCAACCCCACCTGCCGTGGAAATATTCCCCTTGGAAATGGGCAGGGCTGGGGTGGTTATTACAGTGAAAGCTTGTAATAACGAGCTGCTCATTAGCCCCGAGGATCTCTGGTTGGAGGAGACAGCATGGGATTTGCCCCTGGGTAAGAAGAGGGTGGTGGTAGGGGAAAAATCCCTTATTGTGTAGGAAAAGTGTTAAAACAAGAGTCAGAACTACTGGTAGGGAGAGCAGAGCCAAGACTAGAAGACCGGAGCAAAAATAAGACACAGGCTCTTTGCCATGACCTCCCACATACACTGCCCCCCCGCTCCCCTGGGAAACTGCTGCACCCAACAGAAGGGCAAAGTTCCTCATGGACCTTTATATACATATCACTTTATTTAGGTAGCTTATTACATGTCAAAGTGGCAAACACTAAAGAAATCTGAACACAAATATAAAAAAAAGACAACTAACATACACAATAAGGTTATTCTTCTTTGGCCCCCCCGGATGTGCATTGCCCCCAGATGTGCAGCCAGGGGTCCCCTATTTGCAGCAGCTGCACTTGGCGGAGGGGGGCCCCTTGCAGACGCAGCCCTGTGCACACTTGGCACATCCAGCTGGGCAGCAGGAGCAGCAGCCTGTGGGAGAGACAAAAAAAAAATTGAGGACATTCTTGCAAAGTCTCAGGCTGGATCTTGGGGTGGGGTTTTGCTGTTTTGGAGACCTCCCATGTATTCATGTTGTTCCTTTTAGCAGCATCTCCATTCTTGGCAATGTCTTTCAGGACTGTGGGGTGATGGTAACACAGGACTGGCACTGGAGAGTGGGGGGAGAGTGTGGTACTTCCAGGGGTTCACCAGGATTTCCCCAGTCCTTCTCTTTGCAAACTCATGGCACATTGCTCTGCTGTGGGTGACAGCATCAGGAGCACCCAGGAGAAATCCCAGTGCCGGTTTCCTCCCCAGCATCCCCTTGTGCTGAGCCTGAGATGCTACTGAGGGGAATGCTCAGGTTTAGGTGGTACTGAGTGACTTGTACTGCCCAGAGAGGGGGTGGGATTCACACTGTGCTCCTTTGTCGGGGGAAAACCTTATGTGAAAACTCACCACGGGCAATGCTAGGACTGATTTGATTCAGTGCATACATGGATATGTAGTGAAAACCCCCTGAGTGTTTCTGCTCCCCATCCCAGGGGGCTCAGGAATCCCTCTTACCTTTTTTGCACGATGTGCATTTGCAGTTTTTGCATTTACAGTTGTCCCCGCAGGTGCAGGTGCCACCTAAAACATGGAGAAAAGGAGAAAAAGAGGTTGAGAAGAGGCGGTGAGAGGGGATCTCAGAGATCCGCGGGGAACAGCACTGCCTGCCCTCTGAGCATCCACTGATGCTTCAGCCTCGCTCAGAGGGGACGTCACGGCATTCCCAGCCGCTTTCCAGTGAGATGCTCCCAGTGTGACACTGCAGTGCTGGGAGAGGACTTCAGCTGCTGGCCCAGCCCGTACGAGAGAGAACATCGGGAATGGCGGAGGAGGCCGGCGGGCGGGAGTGCCGGTGTTCCCGCTGGGATGCTGGGGCTCCGCTGCCCCCGGGGATGGAAGGAAACGCTGCCTTACCTGTGGCACAAGGGCAGTCCTGGGAGTCCATGTCTGGCTGGGCTGGGTGCCTGCTGTCGGACGCGTTGGGCGACGGGAAGAAGCTTTGGCAGGACTCGCAGCCGCCTCCTATTTATCCTTGGCCAGACGGGAGCGAGTGCAAAACCTCCGCCCCTGCAGCCTGCGCACGGCTCGGCCCGGCTCTGCCCCGGGCGCTGCTGCTGATTCACGGCCCGGGCGGCGCGGCGTGACCTGCGGCTCCGCATCGCCCCGCTCCCCTCCCCGGGCTGCTGCGGCAGCAGGGAGGGCTCTCGGGGTGACCACCCCTCTCTGCTGAGATGCTGAATGGGTGCAGAGAACGGCCAGATCTCATCACACAGATTACACCTGTCTCAGGATGTGTTGCTGCTCTCGACGGGGCTGGGGGCTGAGGAGCTGCACCCAGGGAGCCTCCACGGTCCAGATTGATTGATTGATTGATTGATGCCAAAATGAATCTGCTAATCTGATTTGGGGGATACATTAATCCAGGAAGTGCCACCACTGGCCAGGAAATCTCAGTCCCCTCCTCTCAGAGCTAGCACAGTGGGGTGATGGGGAGCTGGCACCATGAGGTGACAGGGATTCGGTCCCTGCTTGAGACCCTGTCCTCTGGTTCCTACACCCTTCCTACAAGCAGGAGCAGCAACAAGCTGGACTGGCCTGGCCAGAGCCTGCCATGCTCTCCCTCCCAGTGCCCCAGGACAGTGGCACCCACGTCCCCTTGGCGCCATGCATGGCACCTCGGGGCCCTGTCTCCTTCCCGGCTGCAGTGCTCCATCCCACTCTTCTGAATTAATTTCCATGTGCCATTAACTGGGTGTGCAGGGGAGGAGGGTGGCAGGCAAGCTGCCATCACCCTGGTCAACTCCTCCAGCGGGTTTTACCCACCCACTCGAAAGCGCAGTGAGCATTTCTGAGGGAAGGCACAAAAAAAAGGTGCTTGCTGTGATTTTTGGTGTGGGGACAGTCTACTTCATGTGCAGGAGGCATTGTCAGCCATGGAGCATCCTTCCTCCTCATTCCTGTGTTTCCATGCACTCCTTGGTGTCCAGTGATACTCCATCCCAGCTTCTCCTTGCTCTGAGACTCCTTTGCCTTGGGGTTTTATCCCAGCTGGGCTTTTGCCTGAGGTACCTCGCTGAGGCAGTTAGTTGATGCTAATCCAGCCGAAACAGCGGCACAGGGAGTATTTTTACCACTCAGCTGTCTGGACTTGTTGGGAGCTTGTTGGGTGACCTGATGGGGAGCACTGCCAGCACCCCGACTCAGCGTCTCCTCCAGCCTCTCCAGGCCAGTGTGGGAAATCTGTATGGAAAAGCCTAAGAAAGGCAGAGCTAATGGGCCCCTTCCTCAACTCCTCTATCCTGGAGCAACTTGTCAGTGCCCTGACATGCCAGCCCTGTGGTCTTGTCAATGTCACACTGCTGCTGATGCACTGGGGCATGATGGCAGGGGACAGTGCCAGGGACCAGGCATGTGCCAAGAATGTTATTGCTCCTGTGGGAGCAGGGAAGCACAAACATGGGAAATACATGTGTAAATGGTCACCTGCCACCCTGGCTATGTTCCCCTGTACTATACTGGTGTCATGACAGAAGGGCAACCTCTCCTCGGGATCTTGCATTTCCTCTGGTCCTTAGCTGAAGTAATCAAGCACTCCTGTAGTACAGTAATATGCTGAAGGAAATGCTTCCTGCTGTGTTGTGATGGATTAATGGTGAACAGCAATTTCACTGTTGCATCCCCTGCACTGCCTGGGACCCTTGGCCACCCAGGTAAAAATTGGCCCTATCCCCAGCTGGTGGTGGCCCAGGGATATAGGGACATGTGGCTTCTCCAAAGTGGTCCCTCTCATCTAGCCTAGGGGGAGGAAGGTGGAGCCCACACAAAGGGAAGAGAACAATCTCTGCCATGAAAGGTGCAGGGTGCAAGAAAGGCTCTCCAGCATCTGTCAGACCCCAGCCCTTTTTAGTTTCTTTCCTCTCTTTCTGCACAAAGAAAAAAATCATCTTCCCGGTGATGTTGGACTGAGAGTCAGGACTCTAGTCAATCTTACATTGCTCTTGCTCTATTCTGTAATTGATTTCGGATACATTCTATAATTAATTTGGGATTAGACTAGAATAGTGGGTTGTCAGGCAGACACACACCAATCAGACCACCTCCAGAAGCAACCTGTGATTGGGGTGAAAATGAAGAGCTAGAGACACCTTCCTGCTGTTTAAATACCCCCTTGACAAGGTCTTGCCAGCCTCAGTTTGCCTTCTGGCCCCTGCCCTCCATTTTCCTGGGGGTTCTCCATCATTTCAATGGGTCTGATGCTGCTCCCCAGAGCCAAGCAAAACAAGCAGGATCCCTGCACAGAATTTATTCACCAGCCCTTGCCATACCAGAGCTGTACCCCTTGGCTCTCGTGTACTCTGCGTGGGATTCCTGGCTCTGTCCCCAGGCACGTCCGTGGCAATTACCCCGAGATTGCCGGGTGGATTAACACGGGTGAGTCAGCGTGAGGCTCCCATGCTCCAGGCAGAGCCAGAGATGATGCTCACTGGGAGGATGGTGATGGCTGAGCATCACTATGGGCATGCCAGGGACAGGGCTCCCTAGAAAGGAGGAAGCTGACAGCTTTCAGGACAGTGTGGCAGAGGCTCCTGTTCCTGTGACACCTCGCGTGTCTCCAGCTGATTGCTGAAAGCCACAGGACGGTGTCAGGGCTGGTGCCGGTGACTGGCAGTGACTCAAGGCTGGTGCCAGGCAGGTGAGGAGGGAGGCACAGCAGCCAGCTCCCGTGGAGATGAGCTGGCACGGGTCTGCCCTGGCTCTCTGCTGAAGGACGCGTGGCTCCAGTCACTGTGGGCACGCAGAGGTGCATAATGAGCCAGCATCAGCCTCCAGCTGCCCGTGGTGCAGCCACCCAGCACATCGCCTTCTGGGGACCCTGCAGACTGCTACAAGTCCCCCTCTCATGGCACGTGTCCCCTGAAGCACTTGCTCTGGGCTCATCATCCCCTCTGGAGCAGTGATGGGTTTGGTGACCCCTCCTTCACCCAGATACAAGATCCCAGGCAGCCGGGGGGCTGTGTTGGCAAAGCACCATGGTTCAGTGTGTACAGACTGAGGGCAGGGATGCACAGAGCTGTGAACCCTGTGTGGGCACAGCACTGACACCCTGAGGTACAGTCCCTGGGAGTGCCCTGCTCCTCACCATTGCCTATTGCTTGCCAGGCAGGATGCTGGTGCAGGGTACCCAGGAGTGGCCCTGACACCACAGCAGCAGCAAGGGCTATGCCTGCTCCAGCTGCCCCTTTGTATTGGTCTTTGGGCAGAAGAGCCATGGCTGGCCAGGGCTCAGCAGGCTCAGAGGCTGAGGGCTCAGGCCTCAGAGGTACAGGGAACCACAGCCCACCTGGGATCAGTCTTTTAAACCCAAATGGAGAAAAAAAATATATTTTAGCACCCAGCAAGCATCCAGCACAGGCAAGTGCTGAAAGCCAGCAGGAAGCCCTAGGAGTGATAGCTGCTTAGAAAGCAGGTTCAGCTTTGATCCGAATCTCAGGTTATTGTTTCGTGATGATAAACAAGTGTTTGAAACATGGGAAATAGGTGCTGACGTAGTTTTATTTTGCTGGTGCTTGCCAGCCCTTTGGCAGAGGAGGAAGGTGAATCACCCCTTGTCTGCCCTGGGAAGCCATTCTCAACCACTCCCCATGTTCACAGGCAAAGCCTTGGAAACATTTGGGAGTGAAACCGGATCAGTGGGGTGACCTCAGGCTGTGGAGACTTCTTTCTTTTTCCCAGAAAATTGGGAGCAAAGACTTGTTCTGCTCTCAGTGGCAGACATTAGCTAAGCTCATTGTTTGTTCTCCCTCTTTGCACCTTCCTGGGAAGATGCCTGCTTCCCTGCCTGAACCTTGATGGCAGCTTTAGGAAAATACATCCCAGCTAGTTCTTCTCCAATATCAGCCATCAGCAAAGACGTGGCATGTCCCATTTTCCTGAGGAAATGCTCTTCTTGGGGACTTGATGGCTCACATCACGTCTGTAACCATAGGAAGGCACCTTCAGCGAGGGCCTGCTGGCAGTGGGAAGGGGACGGGCAGATTTCCATGCAGCAGGAATTGCACGGCGTGCAATCCTGGGACGCTTTCACAAGCCGGCAGCACTCTTTGATGTGGGCTCTTTGGGAGCCGCCTTGTGACCCAGCCGGCTGCGCTGGGGCTGGGACTCCCAAGGCCAGGATTATGAGTCGGGCTCAGCTGCCGGCTCATCCTATGGCTCCAGGCAAGGGCTTGCCCCTTATTTCTTATCTGAAATGGAGCTATCAATATTACCTTCTCCTTGAAAAAGCAGTGTGGAGAGGGTGGGGATTTTCTAAATACTGATTTTTAGGAAGAAGGGAAAGGAAGAAATGCTGAATTGATGCCATGAACTGGGTCCAGGAGAGTAAACTGACCTTGCAAAGTTCCCACCAGTTATGGGGTGTGCATTCTGAGAGACCCCAGCACAAGGTGGGAGCTCCTGCCTGGCAGGATAGGCTTTTGGGGCCAGGTGATGTGTGTTGGGGCATGTCTGGAAGATGAAAGGGCTGATTCTTCTTTTGATCATGAAATTCTCATAAATGTTAATGGGAATTACTTCGAGGTCTAACGAGGGTTGAATTGCAGCCCCCAAGGGAAGGAAGGGGATGAGGACCAACCAAGCTTTGGCTGGGAAATAAAAATGCTTGAATTTACCTTGTCCCCCTCCTGTGAAAGCAGAAAAACAGTGGGTCAGGGGCTGCCCAGCATCCCTGCATACTCTTCTGGGAAAGGGGTTTGCCAGGTGTCCCTCACTTTGCTCAACACTGCTGGCAACTGCATGACAGGCTTTAAGCATCACCTTAACTCTAGGCATCATTTTAATTCACCAATCTAATGCTTTCCCAGTGTACACTTTGGATTTTCTTTTTTTTTCTTTGGTTTTGTTTTTTTCCTTACATCTTTCCTTCCCTTTTGTGTCTTTCAGGTTCCCACAGACTTCAAACTCACCTGCTTCAACTACTCACCGCCTTCCCTGGCTGAAACGTGACCCAAAGTTTCCAAGTATCGTTACCTTGGGCATATTTAATTATTGTATTCCCCTTTAGTTGCTAATTAGAAGCCAAGAGTAGAGAGGATGACTAATTCCCTGGGATGTCAAGTACACACTTGCCTGAGCTTGCAAAGAAAACATCGGCCCCCTCAGTATAAAGGTGTGAAATAAAAGGATGTGATATTTTCCTTGATGTCTTTAAACCCTGCTCCTAAGATCCAGAGATCCTTGTTGTCTATCTTGGGAATTATTCACACAGCTGCTGTGCTGGATCCTGCCTCCCCCAAGAACAGCCTAGTTGTAGAGACAGGATCTGGTAAAACAGATCTTTACATCCCCATCCAAAAGTGTCTCCCATGCCAGGAATGGGCATGGGATGGGGGGAGAAATGCTGCTCCAGCTGGGGCAGCAAACCTGGGATGGTGAAAGAGAAAAGCCCCTGCAGACAGGCTCATTCTTCATCTCATTCTTCATTTTAAGGAGTACTTAAGTGTGCAGATACTATTGCTCATCTCTCCCCACTCCCTCCAGCCATATTAGCCCTCTCTTCAAAAGGTGGGGGTAGTTATTTTTGCCAGCATTTTTCCAAACTCAGTATCTGAGCACTCCTCACTGTTCCTCTGCCAGGCAGATTAAGGCATAGTGAATTTTTGGTTACATTTGAAGTCTTTTCAAAGAAACAGCTTCTGGGTGTGTGACAATATTCATACCTGTTGTGCTGTCAGGTCCAGCTTCTCCATGCAACCTGCCTAGAAAGCCAGCAACCCATGCCAAGCATGTTTGATTATATAATCCTTATCTATATCTATATCTATATCTATATCTATATCTATATCTATATCTATATCTATATCTATCTATATCTATATCTATCTATATCTATATCTATATCTATATCTATATCTATATCTATATCTATATCTAATTTATTATATGGTATTTTATTATATAGTATGTATTATATTAAATCATAGTGGCTTAAACAATATTATATTAAATGATTATAGTATAACAATTATAGTTAGTAGGAGCTAGAAAACAGCAAACACTGGTCACAGAGCATTGTCTTGTCAAGCCTGTGCAGAGTAGCCAGGAAGGAGGATGGTGATGATTTCTTGCTGGATTTTAAAACCTGTGTTCTAATGAAGAAGCTGAATAATCCCTCAACTACAGTTACACTAATCCTGGCTGCAAAGCAGCCCCTGTCTGTGCAGCAGTGAAACCCACGGGCTTAGTGAGGATTTTATGGGCTTTCCCCCCTTGTAAAGATTGCAAAAGTGAGGCACCCCTGTCCTGAGCACTGCTCAGGACTCAGGACTCGATGCTGTACCTTTGGATATAAATAAATTTTATTATGTTTTATTATTTTATTTATAAAATAAATAAATTTAATTTAATTTTATAGATGATGGGCTTTCAAACGAAGGGAAATTAGTGTTAAAAGCCACGATTTCAATATTAAGAATTTCAGAGCCAGCGGATTCAAAGTGGCAGCTGTAATTTAATTGTGTTGCAGACATGCCAAACCCAATAATTAGTGATTCAAAATAATATTTGCAGCTCAAATCATACATATTTAGCAAGAAGTCGAAATTTCCATCTATTTACAATTTTACCAGCTTAAAAAGGCCTCTAAGCTCAGTTTTCCCCCCATTTTCTTGGTTGGGTTTGAAGACCCTGGCAGAGCAATGCTCAGCACTGCTAGGAGAGAAGCTGGGGATTTTGTCCCCACCCATAGCACAGGGCTTGGAACTGGATGATCTTTAATGTCCTTTCCAAGCCAAACTATTCTAGAATTCTGGGATTTTCCCTGTGAGGACAGCAGTGTTTGCTGGCCTATAGCAACACCCTATTGCGTGCCTGAGCTCACGCCAGCGCTTTGCCTTTGTGCTCTGGTACCCAAACCAGCATGAGGGAGGGAGACCCACAGCATGGCTGGCACTGACACCCACGCTCACCCCAAACAGCCACAGAGGGGAAAAAACACCCTCCTTAATATGCTGCACGTGATTGCTGCCTCGTTATCCACGAGTATAATGGCACATTGATAGAAGTGCCAGAGAACCTTGGTAAAAACAATCTAAAGAGAAAAAGGAGGTTGTCACATTCAGAATCGCATGATCCCTGCTCCAGTGCTGCTTTTTAGAGCCCTCCTTCGCATGCGGGGCAGGGATGCTGCTGCCGGCCGGGGCTCGGCCAACGCACAAGGAAATGCCAACTGGGATGTGTCTGCCAGCTCTCCTAGAAATAAATGGATCTGTGCCTCAAACCAGCGGCCTTTGCAGGAAAGGAAGAGCTGTTTTTCCAGTGCATCCTCTTCCAAACCTGCTTCTTGCTCGGATGGAGGTGATAATGTCCCAGTGCATGCAATGGATTCAGGCACTGTTAGAGAGCACCGTCTATTTACAGAACACATGAGGGTTATCATGTTAAAATATTGCTTAGACCTAAAATAATTTAAGAATTTCTAAAGTCATTACCTTGAGTCAGGGTTTCCCTATCCAGCCTGTGGCTGGGCAGGGAGTGGGCACTGCAGGGAGATCCATGAGGGTCTGTATACCAAAATCCACTCCAGGACAGGGACTAGCATCAGTGTTTACACTGTGGCTCTGTGAGGGCTTGCCCTCTGTTTCCCTCATCTCCAACCTCCTCCTGGTGCACCAGTGGCTGGATTCTGTAGGATCAGGGCACAATTCCACAAAGCAGCAGTAATGATGTTCTGAGGCTGTGCTTTTGGCTTCATGGGACACTGTAACTCTAGGTTGGGTTTTACTGGCTCGGAGATCTCAGTATCTCCAACTGAGATCTCCAACTGGCAAGGTGTGAGTAAGGGTGTGTGTGGCAGCTGGCAGGCAGCAAAAGGTGAAGCGAGGGTACTGGGGACAGAGAGAGGACAGGCCTTGGTCCCAGCTGGGTGCTGACCCTGCAGAGAAGCTGGAACTGAGATGGCAATGTGGGTGTTGGAGGCCACTGCAGCTGCCTCCTCTAATTCCACATATCCAACTCACCCCCACCTCCCCTAACTGCCCCCAGCATCCCAAAGAGCCTCTCAGCTCTTCTGACCTCTGCATTTACCCTCCTGGCCCCCTAATCCCACACCCCAGCTCTCCTAGATGCACTATCTGCAGTTGCACCCTCCACCTCCTCCAGTCCTTTGCAACTGGCCCCCAGTCCTGCCCCATCTCCCCCACTGCCCCCGGTCCCTCTGCCCTGCTCCCCCAGTCCCATCTCCCCCATTGCCCCGGTCCCATCTCCCCATTGCCCCGGTCCCATCTCCCCCTCAGACCCGGTCCCATCTCCCCATTGCCCCGGTCCCATCTCCCCATTGCCCCGGTCCCATCTCCCCATTGCCCCGGTCCCATCTCCCCATTGCCCCGGTCCCATCTCCCCCATTGCCCCGGTCCCATCTCCCCATTGCCCCGGTCCCATCTCCCTATTTCTCCGGTCCCATTTCCCCCATTGCCCCCGGTCCCATCTCCCCCTCAGACCCGGTCCCATCTCCCCCATTGCCCCGGTCCCATCTCCCCCATTGCCCCGGTCCCATCTCCCCATTGCCCCGGTCCCATCTCCCCCATTGCCCCGGTCCCATCTCCCCATTGCCCCGGTCCCATCTCCCCCATTGCCCCGGTCCCATCTCCCCATTGCCCCGGTCCCATCTCCCCCATTGCCCCGGTCCCATCTCCCCCACTGCCCCCAGTCCCATCTCCCCATTGCCCCGGTCCTATCTCCCCCATTGCCCCGGTCCCATCTCCACTATTGCCCCAGTCCCATCTCCCCCATTGCCCCGGTCCCATCTCCCCATTGTCCCGGTCCCATCTCCCCCTCAGACCCGCCGCCTCCCGCGGCCCGGCCGCACAGCGCCCCCCCGCGGCCGCCCCTCGGGCCGCGTCCCGCCCGCTGACGCGGCGCCTGCGCGTGCGCGCGGTGCCGGTGCCGGTGCCGGCGGATCCGCGTCCGGCGGCGGCCCCGCGGCCCGGCCAGGCCCGGCTCCCTCTGGCGTTCCCCTCTCTGCCCCGCGGCCCCTCGCCCGTCATGTTGGTGCCCGTGTTCACGCTGAAGCTCAACCACAAGATCCTGCCCCGCATGGTGGCGCTGGGCCGGTACGACGGGACGCACCCCTGCCTGGCGGCCGCCACGCAGGCGGGCAAGGTAACGGGGCAGGAGCAGCCCCGGCGGCCGCGGCGCGGCCTGGCCCGGCCGAGCAGCCCCGGCGGCCGCCGCGGAAGCCGCGCTAAGCCCCATCAGCTCCCCTGGCAGGGCTGAGCCCAGCCCGGCTCCGCAGAGCCCAGCCCGGGCGCTCGAGCTGCGAGCGGGCACGGGGTGCTCGAAGCCTCGCTCTGCTGCAGCAGGGAGCCGCAAACATTAATAGCAGGTCGCGAAATGGAGCAGTAGCAGAGGTGCCCAGAGAGGCTGTGGAAGCTCCAGCCCCGGGGAGATTAAAAAGCTGTCTAGACACAATCTGGAGTAACACGCTCTGGGGGACCCTGTTGGAGCGGGAGGTTGGGTGACTTCTGTGGCCTCTTCCAGCCTGAGCCAGTTTACAAACCCAAGTCGCCAAAGAAACTTACGTTTTCTAGCAGACAGCGGGATTTTTTTGAAGCCATGGGTTTTATCATGCAGTTCTTAAAGCAGTGAGCCTTGGCACTGTTACAGACCAAGCTGTGTGCTGATAACGGGGCTGAGGTTTCTGTGGGTGATGCACAAACAGCCTGACGGGAACAGAGTGCATCCTGTGTGCTCTGTTTAAGTTAGAAACATAAACAAAACAGAATTAAGTACAACCTGACTAATAAAGCGTAAGTTGAAGCATAAACCCACAGGGGCACTTAGGTTGTAAATACAAAGAGAGTTCATCTGTGATGTTTCCAAGCATTATTAATGTTATTTTGGCACTTTTAGAACAGCATAGAACAAGGGCTTGTCTAAGGGATAGACTGCACAGCTAGAAAGCAAACTGTTGAGCCTGTGATCCTCTGACTTGGCTCCAGGCAAATTACAGTGACTGAGCATTGGTCAGTGAGAGTAAAACCATATTTATCATTCATCCTTTTTAAATTAACCATGTTCACCTACAGATGCAGGTTACAGATATGTACCAGGTAAATTGTCTTAAATGTTTGGGATGTTTTGCAAATAATGCTACCACTGGAGCTAATTTGTTTAGTTTGTTGTTGCTCTTTTTTGTTTCCTATTTTTGCCTTACTCCAAAGACTTGTCAGTTGTCATTTTCAGAAACAAACAAAACAATGATGTTGCAACTCCACTGGTCAGAGCACTGTTTTTCCTGCCATTTCCCTTTTTCTGGTATAGTTTAAATAATAGCTGTGAGAAATATTATTGTCAGTAAAACCCCCAGTCTTTTGTCCTCATTTAGGTTGAGTGACTATCTTCTATCCCATCACAGTTATTTCCAAACAATAGTCTTTACTGTCTGTATACAAACAGATACATGTATTGTATTAATATTTATCTCTTTGTTTCTACAGGTTTTTATTCACAATCCTCATGCCCGAGGACAGAGAATAAACACAAACCGAATGGTGCAAAGTAACCAAGATTCAGACATTTCTCTTCTGAACATTAATCAAGGGATTACTTGTTTGACTTCAGGGGTGCTGAACCCTCAGCTGGGTTATGACTGTCTTCTGGTTGGAACACAGACTAATTTATTGGCTTACGATGTGTATAACAACTCAGATTTGTTTTACAGAGAGGCAAGTTGATTTAACTGTCTGCTTTTAGTATCTCCATGATTTTCTTTGAATTCTTTGAATTGTAAAGATTACAGTTTTTACATTAGTTTGTCAACTAATTATGTGTCTGTGCTATGCATTATTCTTACTGCTATATTCAGAATGTTTTGTCTCTAGAATATCTGCAGTATTTAAAAATTAATACATGAAAATTTACACTCACACATACAGATACACATTGCATTCATATGTTCCATCACCTAACAAGACCAACTTAAAAAAAATAATAGGCATACAGAGCTCAGCTAAACTGACAGTGATACTGTTGGAAACTGTCTTCTTCACTTGTGTGGTCTGATGTATTATTGTCTGCTGTTTCTTTTTCCTTTAATGCTTCTCTTCAGGTTTCAGATGGAGCCAATGCAATAGTTCTTGGGAAGCTGGGAGATATTTCACCTCCACTTGCTATTATTGGTGGAAACTGTGCCCTGCAGGGCTTTGATTATGAAGGAAATGACCGTTTTTGGACGGTAAGGCCACACGTAATAATTTTGATGTTATTAGAAGATTCTTTCAATAGCCCTAAATCATCCTGATTTTTTTTTTTAATATGATAATTATTATTTTAGTTGTTGACTGTTCTTAATTTATCTCAGGCCTTAAACTGTGTTTTAGCCAGGTATTCAGTGCACTCAGGTGTTACTTGAACACTGATTGTGTCAATTGTTATACTCTAGTTGAGATAATAAAAATAATTCAGCTTCTGATAGCTGTGACCATCACTGAGTACTGTCCTTCTCATTGCAGGTTACTGGAGACAATGTTCGTTCATTAGCACTGTGTGACTTTGATGATGATGGAAAAACTGAGGTTTGTAACCATTTACACATTAATTCAGCTGTTCTTGTGGTCTTGTAGTGAAATTATAATAAAAAAACTTAGATTATCAAATACAACTGACTTACATCATGAGTTAAAGTTTCTCATTTTTCTTTACACCAGGAGCTATACAGTGAAATGCCTGTGATCATCAGGTGGCAAGGCATCTATTTCAGTGGTATTTCTTGAATATGGTTATGAAATTTTTTAAATTTCAGAGAAACAACTTGCAAGCTTACATGTAAAAGTGAACTCTTAAAAAGCTATTCTTTTGAAAAGCTTCACTTATGCTTAGTAAAATCGAGAAACCTGTCTTCATGTCCAGTTCTTCTGTTCCCTTATAGGGACATGGGGAAATGAAATACCATTTGCTTTGCTGATTTAAAATGACAGTAACACACATCTTGCTGATAATGATGTGATACAAGCAATAGGAAACAGCTGCCATTCGGATTGTGCAGGCTGCAAGAGTTTGGTGAAATTGTGAATTTGTATGGCATTCTTTTTTGGAAACATTTCTTCATCCCAAATGAACAACTATGCTTCTAAATATGAATCTTTAAGAGGAGTAATGGCTTCCTAGTATGCATCAGATGCAAATCAATATGAAGTTAAATCATTATGCTAAAAATACTTACTTTTGTAATTTGTCTTAAGACTTTAAACATAATTACTTGAACTTCTTTGTTTAGTTCCTGAAAAATCCTCATTTGGAGCATCCGATTGGACTATGTGTGTGGTGTGTAAAGGGCCTTGACAATTTTCATGTGTTTTTTGTAAGCACTAAACTGGTCTTTAGGAAATGAAACAGTTTCAAGTTTTCAAATAAATTTCTGCACAGCTCCTCTTTGCAAATTTTTAATGTGCTGAGAGGTGTTTATAGAAAGTGGAGACAGTGTCTAGAGATTCAGAAACCAGGAAACTGATCTATGGCACTAATTGCAAATGTTTTGCACTTGTGCTTTTAAGTGGGTTTTGCTATATTTTTCTGCTTGATAGAAGTTCATTCTTGGCAGTTGGTGTAATCTGGTGCTACTTTGGGCTGAGTAAAGCTGGATACAATATTTGACTAACTTGTTGGGCCAGTTACTCCAAAGTGCATTTACTGAGATGTTTTCAGGGTTCTTTTTGATCTTAATTATCTAGGTGATTTTAAAGGGTTTTCACTTCTTTATTTACTTTTATTTGTGGCTTTTGTGAGACTGCCTCTGGTTTAAAACTGAAGTTCTGAGAAAATGCAAGAAGAAGCTTCCTAAATTACCACTTTGTGTCTTACCTGGTAAATGACTGTGTTAGCTTAATTTCTGTTCTTTCTGCCCCAGTAAAAACAAGTTTACATGTAGAATTTACTGATTTTAAAAACTGATTGAGAATTTACTGATTTTAAATATACTTTTAAGTAGCTAACAGAACTAACTTGTCACTGCCTTCCTCAGGATTTTTGGATTGATGAAGGTTACTTTTCTGCCATCTGGCAGAAGCCTTGTGGAGCAGAACTTTGACTCGCTCTTTCAAGTTTCTGTCCAGTGGAATGAAAATCACTGAGGTGGACGGGGGTGAATCAAACTAACCAAAAAAGTCTAGGCATCTGTGGAAAACACAGCATCACCAGTAATTGTTTCAGGATTGTGTGCTTTTATCTGGTTGCCTTTTGCTGGTGGTTGCAACTTGGTCAAGAGATCTGTACTTCTTAAATATGTTAGTTGTTGCAAATAATTTCAGTAGTTGCAGTAGACTTAGTTTGATGTGATTTAGTTTGACATAATCTGAAGCATCTTTACTTGGGAAGAAAAAAAGCTTTTAATCTTTTTAAAAATCCAACTTTGTTATGGATTTGTATCTCTTTTGCCACGTAAAGATGACAGGCTCATGGGTTCCAGTGGAGAAAAGTACTACCAGTTGTAGACTTTGATTTGTAATTCTGTTTGTCATTGATTTGATGGATGACTTTATGGACAAGGCACTGAGCAGATCTGTTTCTTGGTTTCTCAGTTTGCAAAAGAGAACCTGACAACTGTCATGATCTTCAGTATGAACTTTTCCACTGGGCTCCTTTCCAGTTAATGCCTTCTACCTGGTGAACTAGGAAACAGGAAAAGAACTAAAATGTAGGAAATATTAAGGAGTGAGGAGGCAGAAGACCCAATTCAGTGCCTATTGGTATAATAATTTACATCAAAATAAAGCCAATTTTACTTCTACTTGGCAGTAGTGGCAGCCACCACTTAGTTTGGAGAAGCAGAGATAGTTGATACTTGGATTCCTTGAGGTTGGTTGGTTTGTTTGTCTTGGGTTTTTTTGTGAGTGTTCATTTAGTTGTTTTTTTTAAATGAGAGATCAGTGCAACATTGCAACATTTCACAGATCTGTTAAAACATCTTCATTGCTGGACTTGAAATATTCATTTGTGCTCTGGATTCTGGTGCTTGCTTCCTTAGCTTGAATAATTATTTTTAAAGAGCATTATTTATTTTCAGCTTCTTGTTGGCTCTGAAGATTTTGACATCCGTGTGTTTAAAGAAGATGAGATTGTGGCAGAAATGTCAGAGACAGAGGTAAATTATTTCTGAGTAATGTTTATTATAGTTGCTGACAGAGCTGAAAGTGTTGTGTATCTAAAGCTTCTCTGGTTCAGATTTATTGTGTAGTTAAGTAGTTACTTAACTATTTGGAACAGTTTCTATTCTGCTAGAACTGCAAAAGTTTGAGTTTAATAATGTCTTTCATTATGCAGGGGGCTTTTTGCTTTGTTTATTTATAAACCTTTCACCCCACTGAGAAAAGTGACTATTCTTGGCTGACAGTCAGGAGCCTGTGCAAGGGTAATTAAGGTTGCTGGATTGTGATTGAAGCTCTTAGTGTCCTCTGAGTAAAAGGATGCCTTCTGCAGTTTTCCTCAAATGTTTTAGATGCAATCATGATGATGTAACTTGTCCCTGTGTGTGTATCCAGGCAGTGCATGGCAGGGCAGAAGGGGGATGCCCAGGCAAAACGGGAAGATTATATTGCAATTGGAGTTACACACTGGCTGTATAAAAAGAACTGTGGTGACTAAAGTAAGGTATGGGGGCAGATATGTTTACAGAGGCATGGGAGTAGCTGTTTAGCTTAAGAACTGAAAGAAAACCCACTGATTTTGGTTTCTAGGAAGGGAGTAAAATATCCTTATCACTGCATTTGGAAGTGTTCTCAGTCTTCTCACGGCCCTTCTGGGCCCAAGGTAGAGTTAGGTCACAGACCTTTGTCCTTTAAGATCTGAGACCTCCCAGCTGCCCAAGATGGGACTAAAAGGCTTAGCTAATAAACCACTTATGAAGAGCTATAAAAGACAAAGCCAGGCACTGTTCCAGAAAAGGAGGTTGTTGCTATCACTACAATTAGAACTGGGCCTGTAATATGTCTTGCTCTCTGTGCAGTGGCTAGTCTGGTCATTAGATATTTCTAGTTAAAGGTATGCTAAAGGTCTGTAACTTTTAAGTGTGATTTATTTCCAGATCCTCGGTAGTATTGTTTTAGGTTCACACCTGCAGTCATAGGGAGCCTGTTACAATTCTACTGTTCTAACATAAAAGGACACAGCTGAACCGAAATGTTTCTTTTTAGGAAGGTAAAATGAGGGAACAGTGTCTTTATACATTATGCTTGGTTTGTAAGTCTTGGATAGTTTTCATTTTCTATGTTTAATCACTTACTCACTTACTCTGGTGAAGCTGAAGCTGTAGACTGTTGTGGTTCTTATAAATGGAGAATAAATTTGGATATATTGTTATGTTTGAGTTTCTGACTGTTGCTGTAGTCTTCTGTCCTTACTAGATACTTGTAATTTAGTTTATACTTATGAAAGACTCAGCAGAAGATTGTGAGAGGAAGGGATAAAGTGTTTGGAAACAAATTTTTGTGGTAAAACATCCAAGGGGCACAGTCAGATAACTTCAAATGAAATGTTGGGGAAGAATTTAATTGAAGGAAGTCTCCTCTGCTACGTTGTACAGAAGACCAGACAGATGATTGCAATTGTTCCTCCTGACATTAAAATCTCTAGTCTCAGTGTGTGGAAGAACCTGCATTTCCAAGCCCTGAGAACCTTAGCTCAATGAGGAATGGGTTTTAAAAGGAGTGAGAAACAGGCCAAGTTATGACTCTCAGGCCTTTCTCCAGAACTTATTCAGGTAGGACATCTAGTCTGGTGTTCCAAAGAAGTCCAACTGTGGCAGTTTTTAATTTTTATCTTACTAGTACTGGGCAAAGATTTTCTACCAGTAATATCTCTGGGGCTTTCCTAACCCAGGCAAGTTGAACCTTTGGCATTGTCAGCTCTTTAAGCTTAAGGAATATTGTGTGTAGTTTCTCAATGCTAGTGTGTAAGCCCTGATGACCACAGGAATCCTATGAGCAGTTGTTTTGCTGTCTGTGGTAGGAAATAGTTGGTCAAAGTACACAGTTTGAGGGCAGTTCTGCAATCCCTGCTGAAGTGTGTGCTAACACTGGTAATACAGCTTGTGTGAGGAAATCCTGCAAGGCCTTCAGTGATTTCAGTGATTCTTAAAAGTAGTTACTTCAGTATTCAATACTTCCTACAACAGACTTACTTACCACTTAAGAAATGTAGGACTCATATGATAGGTCTGTAGCCTGTTCCCTGTTAGTTGAAGTTGCACAAGTTCTCACTCCTGTGTCCTCTCTCTCCCTCCTTTCCCCACCAGACAATCACTGCACTTAGCCCCATGTATGGCAGTCGCTTTGGCTACGCTCTTGCCAATGGCACCGTTGGAGTTTACAACAAAGCAGCGCGCTACTGGAGGATTAAGGTCAGTCCATTGTTGGAGCTTGAAGGCTGCCTGGAAACTTGGTATCTAATTTCAGGTCATTCTGATGTTACCCTTAGGTGAGCTTTGCTGAGCAGAGAACTTAATGTAATTTTGTTCTTACAAAATCTACCTGTTTTTATAGGTTCTGTAAAATACCAGGTCAGTTCCTGCAGTATTTTAGGCTATTGGTGATGGTTTAAACAACAGGGATACAACCATACAACTAGGGATTCTTCAGCTAACAGGAGATATTTGAGTTTGTGTTAGAATATCCTCTGGTTGAATCAATAAACTTTTTCAGAAGCTGAAATCTTGCATTGTCTATGTTCAAGGTTAATTTTTCTCATCAATAGCAATTTCCTGCTCCAGCAAATCAGTTTGACAAGATCCTTTTCTGATGCTCATTTTAATATTCTTAATATAACACAGAACAGTATATTTAATAGCAATAAGATGATTCCTTGAGAGCTGGCAGGAAGAGGCTCATGGTTGTCCTCAGTAGTCTAATTTTATGACCGTGTTGAGGCCCTGATACTTTTTTTCCTAGAGGATTTGGTTTTTACACTTTGTTTATGTGAGTTCTGATCATGTACTTGGATGAAAATGTATTTAAAGGAACTATCAGGTTGTTTAAAAGCAGTGTATTAGATTAGTAGTGCAAGGGCTAAGATATCACATGTGTCTGTGACCTTGGTGATGCTGAAACTTCCTGTTAAGAGGCATAGTTATACTCCTTTCTGTACTCTCTGTAGTCTCATAGTCCAGTGTTTTGCAAATGGCAAGCATGTGAAGTTTAGAGAACATACCCAAGCTTAATTTGTTCTTTCTTTTCTGCCCTCAGTCAAAAAACCAAGCAATGAGCATACATGCGTTTGACCTGAACTCTGATGGAGTGTGTGAGTTGATCACTGGCTGGTCTAATGGGAAGGTGAGTTTATACAGGGGAAAATGAGGAACTGTAGATATGGGGGCTGTGTTTGAACAAGGCTGTTAAGTTATCTGATGAACAACAACCAAAAAATGAAAAAGACTTAGAAACCTGAGCACTGCAGATCTATTGCAATAAACCTCGTTTGGCTTGTGCCAAATGCAAGATCAGAGAAAAGCTGCTTCCCCTGCTTAGCTCAGAGTCAATTGCTAAGGTGTGGCAAGTTGTTTCCATGGCAGCAGAGATCATATGCCACATCCTAGAGTTCTTGAGTGTCTCTATTCAGGTGTGTCTTGAGGACACGTGAATAATCCTCTGCAGTGTGTTCTGAATGTTCCCAAACTGCAGGGAGGACAAAGCAGTTATGTAACAGGAGAGCAGCGTCTGTCTTGACTGTGGCAGGATTAATCAAGCATTATTTCATTTTATGTAGAGGCATTCTATGCAGTTCAGTTTTGGTCTTTTAAGCCTGTTCCTTGGTATTCCCCTTTGCCAGAAATGAGTGTTTTAACTGCTACATCTCTCCTGGATGCAGCTTGCCAGGTTTTTCTGTAAAGCTGTGCTTTTTTTCTACACACCTCTTATTACTCTCATTAGCCCGCGGCACTTTAATAACTTCATATCAAGCTGGCAGTCCTGATCCCAGATGTGTTGTAAGTTACATTGGATTAGGTGTGTGACATTGTTAAAGAAAGAACTGTGGTGGTGAAACAGCAGGCCAGAGGCCTTACAAACTGAATCCTGACTCGAGCTGACAGAAGCAGTGAGAAAGCTGACAGCTCTTCATGAGAGCAGAGTCCTGCAGCAGTGAAAAACAACTTATTTTCCTTGAGAAAGAACTCTAGGACTGTAGAACTAACAACCTGCTTTCCCTGAGAAAGAATTCTAGGACTCTGAAAAATTCTAGCCACCTGTATAAACTGTTTTTGCACTGTTAGGTAGGAAAATGAAAATTGTATATCACAGGCAACTTATTCTGCACATACACACCAGCAGATTGAGCGACCAATCAATAAAGGGTAACAACTTGTTACTTCCCAATTGGAGATAGACAGGGGATGCTCTTTAAAAACTCTGTATAAAAGAGATGCATGAATAAACTGGGATCTTTCCTCTTTGCTCCACGAACATGTACCTGCATCTTTCTTTACTGAGCTCCACAGTGACAGAGAATATCTCCTTGCTTTGCTCCTGTTCTTTTCCACTGGTAGTCTCTACTCAATTTGTTGGTCTGAAACAGTCCATAGCTCCCAGAAAGAGTAATGGTGTGACCTGTGCTGTGGAAATTACACAGTGCATGGAACTGAGCCCACCTCACCCTTCTTAACAAATGAAAGGTAATTGAAGGTTGTGGTATTTGTGTATAAAAATAATTCACCACACAAGGACTGCAGCTGAGAGGAGAGGTTGTAAATACTGCATTAAAGTTATTTCTGGTTTAGTCCCATTATTGCTGCATCGTATGTGCATAACGTTTCCAGTGCAGATTTGCAGTTCCTTTTATTTCCTTCCTTTTTTAGTTTTGTAACTTAGGGAGGCATTTCTGAAGAGAAGTTCCTTCTAGCTCCTTCTAGAGTCTGCCTAGAGGTCATTTCTTGAGAGTACTTTTTTCATGTGTGGTGTTTGGATGAGCAGAGCTGAAGCTTCCCCTGCAGTTCTGTGAGCAGAGCTGGCTTTCAGTTAACAACTCAGGGTATGGCATGACACGTGTTTTGGAGTTGGCTTTTCTCTTCATGCTGAGGCTTGGAACTTTTTGTTTTTCCAGGTTGATGCCCGCAGTGACCGGACTGGGGAGGTCATCTTTAAGGACAACTTTGCTTCCTCAATTGCAGGACTGGTGGAGGGAGATTACAGAATGGATGGGACCACCCAGTTAATCTGCTGCTCAATTGATGGTGAAGGTAAAAGAATTGTTAATGATATTAATGTAATACACCGCAATATCAGGCACATCACATCGTCTCAGATTAGCTAAACATTGTTTTGTTCCAGTGTTTTGTGTGCCAAATGCCCTTTTGCTTTATGTGCAGTTAAGGGAATTTTGAGTTATGCTATCTGCAAACAGGATTTTGAATATTGCCTTTTCTGTGAAAATCAGCATGTGTTTCATTATGATCCAAGAAAACATCAAAATTCATTTGTCTAATGGAAGAAACCCCATCCTAATGCAAAGATAATGATATTCAGTACAGACTCTGGTTCTTCAGGCTACATTATAAGAGATGAATGTGTAGGAAATCTTTTTTCTATTTTAATTCTTTGGCCGCTTTACAGTAGGTAAAGGTGTTTAAAGAGCTGAGGGTGTGTGTGTTTTGGTTTTCTTCTGCAGATGAAGAGTTTTTATATTAGAAATTTCAGATGTTAACAGCACTTTGTTTCCTGGAAAATGCTATCCTGAGACTGGAGAAGTGGTGGATTTATCCCACCATGCATTCAAGAAGTCAGGCCTCGTTATTGTGAGTGGAAATAAATATGATCACAGATGATTTAAATAAGCTCAGTATGAATTTACAGGGATGGCTCCAGGAAAGACACTGGTGTGATTATCCGACTCCTTGGCGTCAGTGGCCTGAGACAAGCAGGTCTGGCACAACCCATTTGAAACAAAAGCCTGTCCTTGTTAAATAGCAGTGTGTTTTGCTGACTGTCTTAATCACAGGCTGTGGGGATTTGCTGCATTTCGGCTTCAGCTTATAAAACTTTTTCCCAAGCTTATGGAAGGGGAACATTGTAAGCAGTTCTGGAGAACCTTGTCCTAGCAGAGTTGTGTAGGTTGGTGTCACTGAACATGATCATCCTTTTCTGATGGGTCCATTGTAGACAAGCCTTGCACAATGGGAATCCCTTTAGGCCTTAGTAATAAGTGTGGCTGGGGTTATATAGAGAGTGTTATTAGAGTTCTATTTGGGACCAGCATCCTTTCACATGGGGTGTTCTCTTGTATTGCAGTGGTTTTTGTCTTGCTCTCATTTTAAATGAATGATTCACTCAGAAATAATAAAGTGTGTCCTTTCATCAGAGGACAGTGTGCAAGCTGAATGATTTCAAGTTCCGTGCAGCTTTTTACAGGGCAGCAGACATTTGCAGTCAAGGCAGCATATTCTTCCCAAGTAAAAGATTTTTGTCCCTGGCTTTCATTTTAGAGCTGCAGTCAGGGTGCACAGCCGTAGAGCAAAATGAAAGTTGTCTCATCACCTGTTCAGGTCCTCAGTCTCCACTGACAGTTAGAGGTATTTCCATAACTCTGTGCCCCTCTGGGCTACTGGGAAACAAGTCTTAACCCTTGAAGTGAAGTATCCCTGGATTTGGAGAAAAGCTAATGTGGGTAAATCTTGTTTACTGGCTGATTAACAGTGACTTACAGCCACTTCCAGACAGCCACAACTCCTCTGACCAGCTCTAGAAATCCAGGTACACGTTTTATTAATTCTACATAATTGTAAACTTGCTTAAGCACCTTAAAGAATGATTGCAGTGGGAATCCTCTTGCAAAAGGACTGCATGCTGCACTTGTTTGGTCAGGTGAGTACAGCTTAAAGACAGGTTGGAAATTCACCTTTTTTTTTTTTTTTAAATGAAGTTCTGTTGTCTCAGTCACCAAGAAAGTGAGAGACTCTGTGGGTCTAAATCAATGCTCAAGTTTTCAACTGAATAGTACTAGCTGAAGATGAGAACTGCAAAGGTGGTACAAGAGAGTCATGTAATAGAAACGGAAGTTCTGGGCAGGCTGTTGAAGTCTTTTGCTGAAATGGGCTATGTTTTGTTTTTGTACAGTCCGAGGCTATCTGCCAGGAGGTGAGGAAATGAAAGGGAACCTAATGGATACAAGTGCTGAGCAGGATCTTATCCGAGAACTTAGTCAAAAGAAACAAAATCTGCTGCTGGAATTGAAAAATTATGAGGAAAATACAAAGGTACTGCTTTAACAATGTGTAGGGCCAAAACACACCTTTGTGTTGGTAAAAATCCAGAGTAATCTGGAAAGCGGTTGTGGGGCAGTCCAGACAAGTCAGAACTGCTTGTCAGGATGCAGTGAGATTGTCTGCTGGGGGCTCCTGCCTCTGCATTTGGCTAGCTTCTTGTGCAAGTTCAGAACTTGCTTTTTGTATTTTAATAATGCTTTCTTTGCTTCTTCCTCTTGCCAGAGCAGTTGTGTTTAGAACTGGATTCCCTTCAGCCTTGTGCTTTGGCTTATGATTGAAAATTTTAGTTTTCAGTGCATAAGCCATCTTGGGAATGAGAGGGGATTGTGTGAGAGGATCAGGTCACTGGGTGAGGGTGGGGAGCACTGTCAGGATGTAGGAATCACACTGACGGTGAGCATTTCAAAAAATAGTCTGAGGAAAGAGCAAACTCAATCTTTAAACAGCAATTGACCACCATGGCAGAAACTTGCAATTCCATAAAATTGTGTTTAAAATTGACATATGTGAAGTGTTCTTTGAATAAAAGTTTGCATACAGAGCTGAGGTCCATCCATAGTGAAGCACTCAAACATACTGTAGCCCAAGTGTCCACAACTCCATGCCTAAAGCAGCCATCACTCATAGCTAGTTGGAAGCATCTGGGAATTGCTATAATACAACCTTCCTCTGAAAGAAAAGACTACTGACTTGTGTATGTGTTTTCTAGGTTTTTTGAATGAAAATCTTGAAATTCTGATGCTGATGGGTATGTGTTCTGTAACAGGCCGAATTGAACACTCAGTTGAAGGAAGCTGATGGGCAGAGAGGTCTGATTCCAGCAAACACCCAACTCCAGACAGCCCTCTCAGTTAATCTGGGCTCTGACAGCCAGTCTGCCCACGTGGAACTGTGTATTTCCACCACAAATGGTGAGTGGTAACCTTCAACCATTGATATTCACTTAATGTAAAATCATGCAAAAGTTTAGTTATATTTAGCTGATTAATTGAATGTCTCCCCGTTATTGTCTGTAATGTCCCTTTTGTGGCTTCTTTCCTTTCACAGAGTTTTGAATCAAGCTGTGTTCCTTTGATGGGTCTTAGGGGAGAGGAGTTTGGTGGAATTTGTTTCTTACTATGTGTTATTTTCTGAGGCAATTAACATTTAACTTGGATGAAACCAGCCTTGGTGATCTCTGCAGCACTTCTTGTGCTGACTGTAAACATCAACCCACAGCTGCATTAGTGAGGGTGTTGCATGAATGCAGCTGGATCTCAGCTGGCTTTACATGCAAAACTGGAAATACCCCAAGACAGCAAATTCACCTTGCACCAGGCATGCTGAGGATGCAGTCAAGTCCAGATAGTCCTGGTCACTTGGGATATTTTAACAATTCAGAGGAGTGATGTAAGGAGTTGAACATGCTTAATTCTGAAAACAGTGGTGGTTTGTTGCCAGAGGACAGCTTTTAATTTGGGAACTGCTTTTTCTTCCTGTTGCTAAGACACAATCATCCGTGCTGTGCTGATCTTTGCTGAGGGCATATTTGAAGGTGAGAGCCATGTGGTCCACCCCAGTCTCCAGAACCTCTCAGGCTGTGTTCGTGTTCCCCTTACTCCACCCAAAGATGTCCCTGTGGATTTGCACATCAAAGCCTTTGTGGGTTACCGAAACAGGTGAGTTTTGTGGTGTGATCTCTGCTGGTCTCCAGAACTGTGGGACCAGGAAACAGCAATAATGTGGTTTCATGCTTCTCCCATGGGAAGTGCACCGTTAGTTCCCAGGTGCTCCATTTCTCTGTCTTAATGAAAGGAGAGCTGCGATGCTTTCTTAAAAACATTGATGCACCTGTGGCACTGAGTTCTTTCCAGACAAAGTCTAAATGCTCTAGAATCACTGTGATCTGTTGTGTTCTGCCTTTAGGGAAGGAATGCACATTTTTCCAGGAGATATCATACTGTGGGTGTGTGGAGGGAATCAACAGATGCAGAGACTCTGTCCTGACATCCCTAAGGAGCTGGGCCCTGGATCGTGGCTGCTCTGGGTGGACTACTTGAGCAAGCCTGGAGACACAGCTGTGTTTCTCAAGCTATAAAGTAACCCTGAACCCATTTGGCTTCAGGGCAAATTGAAAGTAACACATGCTTGATTTCAAGACATTTATCCAGTCTCCCATAGAAATCTCTCTGGAGAAAATAAAATGTCTTTTTATATACCCTTGGAAACAGCTTTCTTCCTGCTCACATCTGCCAGAGCTGTTGGTGCCTTAGGAGGCAGCATTCTTTCCCTGAATAGGGAGGCATATTTTGGGAGCTAGGCACCCACTGCAGAAAGACTGTATGGAACTGAATTCCCTTTCTGTTTTCTCTATTTGCTTTTAATATTGTTGCTTCACTGAACTTGTAAAGAAAATACCTAATCATATAGTAAAACTGTAAATGTATTAGCCTAGAGAGTATATTTCAGTAGAAGGATTATTGAAAATTACAGCAATGGAGAAGAATCATACAACCTTGTGATAAGCCTGGAATTTCCAAGTTTCAGTGTTTCTTCCAGGGAAGCAGTAAGCAGCTGATTATGTAACTGGAAACTATGGGTGTCAGTCTCCAGCTAAAAAAAGAAGCAGGAACTATTGCAATAGGTGAATCTGTGCGATGTTATTTACTCTCTGTTTTTCCATTGGATTGCTTCCAGCACACAGTTCCATGTATTTGAGTTGACAAGACAGCTTCCCCGATTTTCCATGTATGCCCTGAGCAGCCCAGACTTGGCCACAGAGCCCCTGAGCTTTGTTAACTGTACCATGAATGAGAGGCCACAAAGGGTGAGTTTCTGCTCTTCCTGGCTTCAAGTCTTGCATAGGTGTAGGGTTTGCAATCAGCTTGAGATTTCCAATAGCAAAGGGGAAATTATGCAGTTAACTGCACCACTGGCCTTTGGAGTCTGTGTATTTTAAGTCAACCCTGCTTTTTTTCTGTCTTTAAAAGATGACTCAGTTGAGGCATTCCAAGCTTCAGGAATTCCTGCAATAACTAAAGGCCTGAGATCAGAAGGTGTTTCAGATATTATCTTATTTGCTGTGTGCCTGGTGATAGCAGGAAATCTCTAGTGAATGTTGAATTTTTTAAATGAGCAGAGAACAGGAAAAAAGCAACATAGTGCTCAGGTACTGGCTCAGTTTCGTAGCGGTCTTTGATTGTTGGATTTGATTATTGACTATTCTTAAAAAGGAATAGTCAGCTTTGGTGCAAGGATTCAATTGTCCTCATTCTAAGAAGTTCATGACATGGGGTTATGGGATGAAATTTAGTAAATGAAATTTCCATGGTACCCTGAATAGTGTGTTCTGATGTATGTTATTTGCAGGGACTTTGTGTGGTTCCCAGGCTTTACACACAGGGGATGGCTGATGCTCTTAATTTTATTTTTCAAGATTGTTATGTGGCTGAATCAGAGCTTCTTGCTGCCAGAGGATGCAGAGTTTCAGAGTGCTCCCTTTCAGGTTTGCTTCACTTCTCTTCGTAATGCAGGTCAGCTCTGCATCAAAATCAAGCCTGGTGGAGAGGTGAGTACCTCCCTGGACAAGGGGATCAGCCCTTCGGTGATACTCCAGTAAAACCAGTGTACCCATACTGCCAGTTAGAGGCAGTAAAAGTGAAGGATGACTAAACAGGCAGAGAAGGCACTCAGGCTTTTGGAAACTTCTGTGTCTGTTTACTGTTGGTGGGTAAAATTCCAGGGCCTGTTAGTGAAGTAAGCTGCTTAGCCTGCAGATCTATAGGAAGGAGATAAATTATTTCCTCACAGAATGGTTTCAGGGAGCCATAATGTGAGGCACAAAGGCTACCTGTAACTTCTGTCTGTAGCTGCTCCTGTGTGCAGAGATGCCTCTCTATCCTAAACCTGAATAAAAGCCCCTTTGAAATCAGTGTGTTCTTGCCTACTGAAAGCTGTAGAGTTTGCCCATGCCCTCCTGATAAAAGGACCTGCTTTGAGCATGGGTAACTGTTGGAGAGGCAGTACTGCTGGGCAGTTTCACGTGTTCTGGCATGGAAGAGTGCTAAAGTGCTTTCTTTCCTTTCTGACAGATTTCCATCAACACAGATGATATTGATCTAGCTGGTGACATTATCCAGTCAATGGCCTCTTTCCTGGCCATTGAAGATTTGCAGGTGGAAGCAGATTTTCCTGCGTACTTTGAGGAGCTGCGGAAAGTATTGGTGAAGGTGAGGAGGCTTTGGACATTTCTAAGCAGTCACTGGGTTTTTTTAATGAGACAATCTCTAAACTATTTTATCTTTTTTTGTGGAAATCAGCCCACAATGGCTTGCTGTATATTCCGTGGGACACTCAGCTTTCTGTCTGTTTTTGTTCTGTAGAACAGGCCCTTGGTCCCATCAGTTGGTTGCTTAGGATAAAATAAATAATGTTGTCTGGGAGACTGAGCTCTGGTTTTGGGTCAGCATGTGAGATGTGTATCTCAGTCTACTCATCCTTTCTGGGGGCAGTGGGGAGGGGAAAGAGAACAGTGTCAGGGAATGCTAATTGTTTAGGTTGGGATGTTACTTCCTATTGCACTGGGCTGAGGTTTAACCTGAACCCTGTAAGCCCAGGGTGCCAAGGACCCTTGCTCATGACTTGTTTGCCTTGGGCAGGTGGACGAGCATCACTCAGTGAATCAGCGGATCACTGCTGACATGGCCGAACTCTCCAACCTCATCCGCAGCATGTTGGTTCAGGCAGAAGATGCCCGGCTCCTGGGAGACATGTGAGCAATTGCTTCCTCGTTTGTGTGTTTGGGGCTTAGACACAGAAAAACACGGATGTGATGCAAGAGTTGCCTAGTTACAATTTTTGATGTAGAAGTGTACCTTTGATGGTCTCACCATGAGCTCTCCTTGAACCTTGTCATGTCCTTTAGGTAGGAAACCAGTCAGGGGAAGGCAACAGGGCAAGGGTAGGAGCTTAGTGTATAGCAGCTGAGGTGAATCTACTTCAAGATGATGAGATAAGTTAGAAAATATATATTAAGGGAAGAAGGCAGGAAAAGGTACCTGTGGTGTGTGAAATTTTGAGAACACCAGGAAAGAAACTTTTGGTGTCAGGCTTTCACTCTGATTTGCTGTTTCCTGCTAATTCCGAGCTTTACTCTGAAGAGCAGCAGTAAAGAGGCCCAAGCTACTGCAGGGCAGTGGTACTTTCACTGGGGAAAGTGGTGCCTCCACTTCATCTTGCTGGATAAAGTAACTGCAAAAATAGACAGTTGAGGTTTTTTTAGTAAAATAATGAGTATAACCAACATGTCTAGACAAGTCTGTTGTCTTGTAGCTGGCAGACAGGCAGGTGACTCTGGTAGCCAACACAACCGTGTATTGCTACACCTTTATATTGACAAATGGAGTGACTTTCTTGTCCTCAGAGATGCTGCAAATAACTGGACTGATTGTTCCCCAGGAAAAACATGAAGACACGGTACAGCGAGCTGTATGACCTGAACAGAGATTTAATAAATCAGTACAAAATTCGTTGCAACAATCACACAGAGCTGTTGAATAATCTGAAAGCTGTGAATCAGGCAATCCAAAGGGCTGGGCGGTTACGTGGTAAGTCTTTATTTTTGAAAGAATTGGTTTTCTCAGACCCTCAGAGAAGTGCGTAAGATGTGTCCCTGGGTTTGTTAAGTGACCCTGAGGTCACCTGGGTTAGTTAAGTGACTTCAGACTTTTTGGCCTGAAACTGAGTTAGTAGAAGTAATCTTTCATTCTTTAGTCATAGCCGATTACGTGTGACAGTCACCTGTGAGTGTGTCATATAATCTGGGATCACAATTCTATAAAGAACAATTTGAAATAATTTCCAGATTTCTGAATGAGGCAGAAATTGATAGTTTTGTTGGACATACTACTTTAAAAATGGTCTTCTGTTTTCAGAATTGTTTTTAGAATTACTTCAGTTTTTAGAATTAGTTCAGTTCTTAGTTTTTTAATTCTGCTTTTAAAAAAAGCAACTACTAACTTAAGCAGGACTGTTTTATCTTCATTATTAGTCCTCTTGGTCTTCGGAGAGAGTGGTACTTTTTTGTATGTATATAGCATTCCCCTTCCAACATAAAACAGAAGCTACAGGGGATTTTTCTTTAAAGAAAGGACTTTATTTGTGTACTAGAAAAAAGGTGGTGATTCATCATGTGTTTAAAAAATATTTGGAAGAAATCCCTAAATTTTCAGCCTGGATCAAGTATTTTTACCATTTTCTTACTCTGTAACTGAGATTTTTTTCCTTTTTTTTTTTTTCCTCCTTGCAGTTGGCAAACCTAAAACACAAGTGATCAGTGCTTGTCGGGATGCAATAAGGAGCAACAACTTCAACACACTGTTCAGGATAATGCGTGTGGGAACAGCTTCTTCTTAGGCAGAGGAGCAGCAGCTGTGCAGAGCCAGTGATTCCATGCACTAAGCAGATAATGGATGACAAGCAGCTAATTCAGATCCCTACTCCACAGTAGGGTGAAGTGAATTCAATGGTAGTGCTGTAGTTCACTTGTTAGGTAAGAAATGTTACACAGACCAAAACTCCATGAAGAGAGCATCAGAGTTCAAGTGCAGATGTGGTATTTATGCAAGACAGAAGTTCAAACAGTTATTTTTTATTACAGTAATTTATTTATGTATTTAAATATATTTTGTAGTTAAGGCATTGGTCTTTTCCATTAAAACATAGACTGGTTTGACTAATTTTTTTCTGATTTAGTTGGGGAGATGTGTACTGCTAAATTTATTTGTTGAAAAAACCCAACCCAAACAACTTCTCTGATTTCTGCGGTATAGTTCCTTTATACTTGAACTTCCTGTGCTGGAGAGTCTGGGGTTTTACGCAGGGATGCGTGGTTCTCTAGGTAAACTGCAGGGCAGTGCATGAAAACCACCAAAAGATACCAGCTTGCTAGCTCTTAAGCTAGAAGATCTTTGACAGGTATCCAGTTCCATGATCTGTGCAGGTAGGACACGGTCTGTTTCATATCCAGCATTCTCCCCACACCTGGATTGCAGAAAGTTTTGCTTCCACCTACTGGTTCTGTGCTACTGCTGGAAAAACTGCACATACTGAGATGGGCAAGGGTGCATTTCAGGAACAACAAAAACAAACTACATACCCAAACTTGGTGCATAATCATGAAGAGCTGGTAGTACTTAATGGGATCAAAAGAAGAAGGTATTGGAAAATTACTTGGCTCCTGGCTCAAACCTGTTTAATTGTGTGATCTCTTAGAATTGGAATAAAATATTACAGTAAGGCTATATCTCAGATCTAAAGGTATTTTAGAACCTTTGCCAAAGCAAATTTCTTTTTGAAGCTAAAAATAACCTGCACAGGATGGAGGTTGGGCCCCAGTGCTCCTGCATTAGCATCGCCCTTGCCACCATACAATGGTGTTTGCAACGTGGGCAGAGAGGAGTTGGCCCATTTCAGATTTCTTGGGTGGTTTCTTGGGGCCGTCAGAAGGAGTCATGGCCTCTAACTGGTCTCTCTTACAAGCCACCTGAATTAAAAACAGCAACCTACCCTTTGTTACAGAGCCACTAGTGAGCATGGTGTGACCAGTTGAACGGGGAATGTAATTCTCTTAACATGTTTTATTCCCAAAACTGCCCCTCACCACTGCCTTGACCCCTTCCCTATGGAGAGCTGTGCTGCTGAAAGCACAGACCAGTGTCAGTTAGAATCTGCAGCAGGAGCTCATTTGAATCCTTTCAAGAAACAGGTTGTTAGTCAAATCCAGCTGCTTGGTAGAAGGGTGGTGAGCCACCCATGCTGTTATAAGCAAGTCAGCTCAGAGACTTATTATGGAACAGTCTCCTGGCATAAGTTCTGGGCTTTCTGCCACTTGCTGTACCTGTTCCCACTGTTTCAAGCTCTTGTTCTTTATGTTCAAAATCCTAATGCTTGCTTGCTGACATTTATGTACTCCATTTAATGATAAGAGAGCAAGAGAGTAGCTCTGATCAGAAAGCAGCTTTCCCATCAGTCTGACTTTCAGGACTATGCACCAGGCACTGCCAGTCCCAGCTGTGTTCTGCTCCTGGCAGTGAGGTCAATCCTTCACTTGCTGTGCAGACCTTTGGTAAGGCTGATTTCCCTTATCTAAGTTTTGGACAAATTTGTAATTTATTTTCCTGTAAAACCAACTTTTACCTTTGCCAAATGAAATATGCATGTACTTTGCAAGTGGCTGCACCCAATTGTAAATACAGATTGGTATCCAGCAAGAGCATCTATAGAGAAAGCTCCCATTACTGGCACTGTATAAAGTTAAGGCCCCTCTTCCTCCAGTAGCTCATGTAATTTGAAATTTTAGTGAGTGAAGTCTTTCGTCTGTACCTGCAGCACCAGTCATGCCTGGGACTGCCTGTGGGTTTGGGACTTAACAAGAAGGGCGGGAGAGCAGAGACATGTTCATTTCTAAACCTTTGAAAGCTAACTGCAAATTTGGCTTCTTAAATTACTTCATCTGAGTCACCAGAGGAAGAAAGGTGGTTCCTTATGTGATGAGGTAGATAGGGCCTTGCTCAAGCAGAGGCTGGTATGCCCTCTAGTGTAATACTTACTATTAAAAAGCAGCAAGCTCTAAAGAGCCTGACTTCTTCCCAGTCTCCTGGAAGGATGTTCCAAGATCTGTCAAGCACATTGTTAGGCTCACAATGCAGTCAAAGAAGTAACTTAGTTTTGTTAATGAATTTACTCCCAACTTTGCCTAACAGACTATGCTGTGAATAGTTGTGGTGTCTATCAGTTTTGTTCCAAACTACCCAAATAATTTTGGTTTCTTTTATTTGAAACCTCCATTACTTGTCTCGTCCTAGGGGAGAGCTCAGAGTAAGAACTTGTTTCTGTAAGAACAGCCTTCTTCCCAGGAAGAGCTGCTGCCCCAGTAGGCAGAGAGGTTCATCAGAAACCATGATTCAAAGGGTTCTGTCCTCAATTCGGCATGTTTCTAGCTTCATCCCCTTACCTTTGTAAGTGGCAAAGGAAGATTAAAACTGAGCAAGAGAGTTTTGGTGGCGCACAGAGATGCTGGCTTTGGGAAATGAGTCAGAATATGAACAAGATCTTACAACAGCTGCTCGGGGCAACCACCTGCCAGCCATCCTTCCTGCCCAACAGAGCGTGAGGGAGCAGCTAGAACTGAGCAGCTGCTCATCACCTGGAATGGAACTGACACTGGAACTAGAGAGTCCTGCACAGCACTCTCTAACAGCAGTGATGGCCCCTTGCTCTGGCGCCTGTGGGGGCTGAGATACCTTCCCCTTTGGAAGTAATGTTAGGGGTTCCTGCCACCTGCCTCAGGGGTTCCTTTTTTGAACTCTGTATGTTGGGATCGACACTGAAGGCTGTTGCTCCTGTGTCTTCATGCAGACATGCCCACAGGACATCCCACCTGCTCGGGAAAGGATCCAGAGTACTCATGTCAACAGCGAGCCTTACTTTGAGTTCATTGCTCCTGTACTGGAGGCCCACTGTGGTGGCCTCCAACAACAGGCCTGGAATGGGAGAAGGAGCAGACTTTAATCCAAAGCTACCCAGGAAAGACAGGAACGATGAAACATGCACGCTTCCCAGTTTACTGCAAGCCCATGGCCTGCACTGTCTGGCTTGCATGAGCTGCAAGAACACCTGTCTCTCTGTGACAAAGCTTCAGGCAAGCAGGTGCAGACCAGGACTGAGCCTCCAGCAATTGTGCACTCTGGCTGTCTCCTGAAGCATTGGTACCGCTCTGCTGCACCTCTTGGTGGGCTGGACACCTCAGAGCTGAGTCTGGCACAGTCCTGCTTGCAGTGACTGTGGGGCGGTGCACAGTGTTGAAAACAAGCAGGGAGGGAAGTGTTGCACCAAGGCCACACTCACTGCCTTTCCTGTAGTGTTTACCACAGGACTTGGCTGGCTGCTGCCTCAAAACATTTGAGATGATCTCCAGTGACAGAAACCACATTAAAACGCAGGAGATCCCAGGACATAACAAAAAGGACACAAGGCCATACTGTTGGATGACCTCCCTATTACTTGTGTACACCAAGCCAGTAAAAGATAAGTTGCCTTATTCCTGCTTCCAGTCCCTGGCCACTGTTGTGAGGCTGGAGCTCAGAGCTGTCTGCACACCCACCCAAGGAGAGTGTGCAGGAGCAGGCTTCTTCTTGGCTGTTTAGCTTGTAAATTCTTTGGAAAAAGGGCCCCATCTAGGCTGTCTGCACAGCATTTAGCATAATAAAGTCCTGCTCCTTGTTATGGTGCCAAGTGCTACCCAATGCCTTTCTAGCCTGTCTTCCTTCCCAATTCCACAGAGTTGTGCAGCTGGAAAAACCTCATATCTCCCATGGCGGCTCCTTTATTTTTGTCTTAGGAACACAGTTAAGCCCCAGAAAATGTCTTAGGCATTTTCTAACAAAACTTGCCTGACCAGTGTATGAAACAACTGACACATTTCCTTTTTTTTTTTTTTTTTTAATAAAATCAGTCAGCAGCTTAGGGCAATGGACAGTTGTAATTCTCACCCTGATGGGTCAGAGATACCACTGTGCTGCTCCCATGAGAAAACAGCTGGCAAGTTATGTGACAACCTCACCCAGAGCATGAAAAGCAGTTGAGAGTGTGTTACAATGGACACAGGATAAGACTGAATTTCCATTTTTGCAGTTAAAAAAACCACCTGCCCCCCCCATTAAGCAGTGTGATTGAATTGCATGAGTAAAGTTTGTCAGCTTAATGTCTGGGTAGGAACCTGTCCACAACCTGCTACTGTTCTCTGTGACAGTGGTCACACTACACCATCACTCATAATAGACAAAGGAAAAATCCCAAAATCCTGTTCTGTTTGGATGCTTGTTCAGGCGTGCCAAACTTCGATGGTTGATGTATTTCACAAACTTCATAGTTTCTTTGTCTCTATAAACTAAGGCCAAGCAGTTGTCCTCTGGATTCACTGTCAACAGCTAGGGATACAAAGATAAGGAAGGAAATCAGTTTCACAAAAATAGCTTTCATAAAATTCTTCAGAAAAAACAAAACTGTTTCAAAAGTTAGTTAGAACAAAGGGTTGGTGTTAGAAAATGAACTGTGACACTATTTTCATTTTAATACGCTTTACCTGAAGCATTGTTATACATTAAGGGTTTCTGGACTTCTTACTAGTATGACAGCTCAGCACTGTCACTAGTACTGATGCTGAATGGGATCCCAGTGAACAGCACTTCCCTGGGCAAGTGTTATCCCTGCTACAGCCTTGTGTCCCTTCCAGGCAGGCTTCCCAAACAGCCCCAGGTGCAGGTGCCATGAGGCTCTCTCAGGGCCCAGGGCTCATGCTTTGGGTTAACAGCAGCCTCTGAAGCTGAGGCCGGAGCTTTGCCCACGAGCAGCGACTGGGGCAAGGAGGCTCCAGTGCACAACTGAGCGCCCTCAGCATTATGTTGGCATTAAGACAAAGTGTAATTATGTCTCTCCACCTAAACAGTTTCATCTGATTTGCAGCTAGCTACTGAGGTCCTTACCTCTTCATCTTCACCTTTAGCAATGTAGGAAGTAAAGCCACCATATTCAGGATCCCACTCTTAAAATAGAAAAGAAACATTCTTAGAAACCCCAGTGCTGTTCATGCTCCACACAGCCTTTCAGGAGATGCCATTTTTTCACCTTGCTCACCAAAGTTACTGGATACAGGGTAAGTATTTACCTCCTGCCAGTC